GGGTTTTGTGCTGGGAACCTGTGAACCAGAATAAATCCTTTATTTTCACGTAGTCAAATGAAGCATTTCAGGCTTTTGGGACAGAGATCAGCTTTTTGCTGCTCCTCCTAATGGCACTGATGGTTTGCAGGGAGCTTTTGTGATTCTGGAGCTGTTTCTGTATCCAATTAGTTCTACCTGATGTTAATTGGTCAGTTTATAGTAGCCAGGACAGATTAATTCCTCCTTCCCCTCAGTTAAACACTTGGAATTCTGCCCTTTTCACTGATTAAATCAGCTTTTTAGTAGTAGCTTGTAGTGCTTTTACACAATATCTTAGCTCATTTATCACACACGTGTCTGATGCAGGCTGGAATTTATATCCATTTCAGAGCTGAGACAAGACATGGAGAGGTTAAGTGTCTCTTGCCTGCATGTCTCAGGCACTGCTAAGAGTTCAAATGCTTTTATTTGTCACCTTTGCTCCATCAGACAAGTGGCTGCTGTGGAAAGCTGTGTTTTGGCTCTCAACCTCTGTTTCTCAGCATTTTACATCACTGTGCTTTAATTTTGAAAGATGGGGGGGAAAGCATTGTTATGTGGCTGGCCTGACTTTGCAAATAAATATTAAATAGGAATTTTAAATACATCTATTGTGCTTGCTCTTGATGCATATATCACAAGTAAGGCGTATAATAATTTTTTTCTAAGCTGTAATAACTCCACTGGGCCTGACCAACCACTCCTTTTAACCTTTCAGCAGAGACTGTAGAGTGTGGAAGTTTTTATATTCCTTATGTTCAGTAGTTACATCATCAAAAATATGTATAAATAAGGAAGACTCTAAGTTCCTTCTTACAGTATTTGAATAAAACACTTTATTGAGGTAATTTTTGCAAACCTTAGCTCAGATTCAGAGGCCTCTGAGGAAGTATCACAGAATATGCAGTGTAGCTGCTTTGAGTAGTGAGGAATTGGCTTTGATGTAACCATTTTTTCCCCCCTCTTTTTCCAAAACAGGACGTGAAAAAGCAAAAATATCAATATTACTTGTATTTAGCCATGCAGTTATATTTTTGTGATGACTCTTAATAATTTTCACTAGCAGCCTGGTAACAGCAGAGCAGCTTTTGCTGAGGCAGGTATTTGCTGCCCAGTTTTTGTTGTCAAAAATTGTATTTTCAGTGTGATTTTTGGAGGGGACAGAGGTTGTGCCATACCCCAAACCCTACCCTAACCTCACAGGGTATTTTAGAACCTTCCCAGAAGGTGGGGGTGGGATTAGAGCTACACTATGTGTAAAGAAAAAAAAAAGTCTCAAGTGAATAGAGGTTCTAAAATGAATGGAGAATGTGGCAGCAGAACTTGCAAAGCTCCCCTGGAAGGGTTGATTTCCACCAGCTTGGTTTGAGCAGTTTTATTAGGGTGGCAAAACAAGGTTTAAGTCTAGAGTTGGACTTGGGTAATCTGAGCTTCAGATGCAGTTTTAGTCCAAAAGGAAAAGTCCAGGATGACTTGGTGACAAAAATGTGAAGGCAGAGCAGAATGAGGTGGTTTCCAGCAGGGGCCTGTTTTGGAAGGCACTACACATTTCATTACCTGGATAGATGGGAATTAAAACAAAAAATGTGGAATAGTACATCCATATAAACAGCCTGAAGTTTAAGTAGCGCTGGGAAACTAAAAATACCCTCAGCAGTTGGTGAGCTGAAGGTTTGTTACAATTACTCTGAGCGGGGTGACATTTTTAGCTGAGGTTGCGTGGTTTCATTTAAACTTTATTAAACAAACTGGAGCTGGAATATTCCCTGGAGAGTTGGATGCAGCACTAATCTCCTGTTAAACTGTCTGCAGCTTTGCTGGAAACCCTCCAGCTGAGGTGGCACAGGAGCTTCGTGTTAGCAGAGTTACCATAGGCAGGGTGACAGGCTGGGACTTTGTTTCACTGGTGGTTTTTGGAATTGGGCAGGTAGATTTTTAAGGATTATCAGACAGTATCTAAGTATTGAAACTTGGTTTTGTTACCTTGAATCAACCTCACTGCCAAAAGGTCACTTGTGTGCTCTGGAGGTGCAAAGAATGAAATGTGCAGTTCCAGTTGAGTCATTTTCCCTGCAATAATATTGAGGCTGTGTCACCTGTTAGTGGCAGGTGGGATGTGAAGATGCTTTTTGCTGTGCTCACTACCACAAACTCCTCCTGGGAACTTGTCAGGGTCTGTTTTCCCCTGTCAGGCTGTGAATCCAACAAGGGTGCTCCCCGTAGTGTGGTGTCTGTCTCCTGTGTCTAATGACAGCAGCCTGTGAATGCTCTTCTCAGAGGTGTTTGTAGACAACTGGCTCCTGGAAGTGTTTGGGGAATGTGTGCCTTTGGAAAAAGTGAATATTCCTAATGAAAGGACTTCAGTCGGTGTAGGAAACAGTGCAGGAGACAGGCTGGTGTCTAAAGGCAGGATGAAAAACCCCTCTGTGTTCTGTGCTGCTTCCTGTGAGTTGGGCTTGTGGAACTGAGAGAAAAAAGGCAGCTTCTGGGGATGTGAGGCAGGTAATTTCTAAAATTATTATAGTTATTATAGTAATAGATGTATTGCTTCTAGAAATGTTCCTTTAATAATTGAAGACTTAGTTTTATTTCCTCTCAACATGCCATCGTGCTCTATCTCTGTTGAATAATTGGTGCTTTGGTGTTGGGATTTTGAATTCAAATATTTTGCCTTCCAGACTCATAGTAAACATTGATAATATCTTTGATTTATACTCTTCTCATTTCAGTTGTACTTTCATGTGCATGGATCTAAATGTATAATGAACTTATCTTTACAAAGCTTTGCAGATGATTTTAAATGGGCAGCATCAGTCATTTTAATGGCTCCTGGGGAAGGAATGGAAGTAATTACCTTTCCTGTTATTCCATGACCTTTTTTGTAGTTTCTGAATGCAAACAATAATACTGAGTGGGCTCTGGCAATAATAATTTGCTTTTGAAATGTAACATGGACTGGCAGTATCAGCTTATCACCCTGTTAAATACACTGATAGTGCAGATCTTGGGAATATTGCTTGACAAGTCATGTTCCCAACCTTCTCCTCACCTTGGCTGCTGCTCCAGTCACTCCCATGGATTATGGGAGATACATTTCTGTGGGATTTTCCTGCTCCTGAGCACTGCCTGGAGTGCACACTGGGCACTCGGGGGTGCTGTGAGCATCAGCTCTGCAAATGTTTGTGTAGAAACTTCTGCCAAATAAACCCCAACCAGATTGGATTAATGGTGGGGAGATCAAAGAATCAAGAGAGGGAGAAGAAACCGGAGCACAGAGTTTATTTTTGTTGAAGATATGCGTGTGAGCAGGCATATAAAAACTGCAAAAAATGAGAATAATTTCATCCCTGAACTGTTGTTGGATTTAGTCTAGGATCCAGGTTGTTTGCTTTGCTTTGCCAAAATTACAAAGCCAGGAGCTTCCCTGATCCCTGAGCAATCCCAACACTCATTAAATGTGGGGAGTTGTCCCTGGTTGTGCTTAAAGGTGATAGGAGGTGATGCACTTCCCTTCATCTCCTCCTGGTTTGGGATATTAATGTGAAATAATGGAATTTAAACACCTTATAAGCCAGGTAACAGAATGAGACCAACATTCTTCTGACATGTAATTACAGCAGGCTCGTTTTAGTCAAACAAGATCTGTGCTAATGATAATCACCGCTGTGCTAATTGATAGCTCTGGTGCTGTGTGGGTCACACTTGAGGTTTATCTCTTCGATACTTTGATTTATTTTTTTTTTCTTTATGGTTAGAAGTACCCAGAATCTGTAATAAAATTTGAGAGGAAATATAACCCAATTTCTGTTTTCACACAATTGTTAAGTGGAGCCAACATCTGTTTCAGTGTTGACTCAGATTAAAATTAGGGAGGAATGTTTTAATGTGATTTACTTTTAAGGATTGATTTTTGCTTTTGATGAATGAAGTAACTGAAAAGTAGGAAGTTTTACTGAGTGCTGGATTAAGCCCTCAAGTGCTCTGTTTTATTTTGGCCGACAAAAAGCTTGACAAGCCTTTGACCATGGCAGTGTTGTTTGTGTCTGGCTTGTGATAGCAGGGTAAGGAAAATGCCTTGCTATAAATACAGTGACACAGCTCCCTGTGCAGCATCATTTCCCTGGGCTTCTGCATGGTAAATTGCTTTTTCTGCACCACTCAGGAACTTCCAGGGGGTCCTATGCCATTCCCTGCAGCCTGGCTTTGGACAGAGGGCTTATTTTGTTCCACGAGATCCTTCCCTTCTTAAACACTTCCTTAGAAAGTTGCTTTGTGCTTGTAAAATCTGAAGGCAGCACTGCTTTCCAGGGAGCTCCCAGGCAGGGTGAGTGGATGTCATCACGTTTTCCACCTTTGCAGTTGTGAACAAGTTTGAACAGGTGTAGCTGGCAAGCAGATTTTGGCTGTGCAAGGGGATCTTGGGTGAAGAATTACATGTAGTCCAACATTTTATTCCTATTAAATCAGACCTCACTGCACTGTCTCATGAACTTGGAGTGCTGATAAAGTATTTTGTTTTAATGCAGAAAGGCAGAATGGTTAATAGATGAAACTGCTTGAAGGATGCTGTTGGAGCTGCTCTTGATAATACTCACCACTGTTGGTTGCAGATAATTTCCTTGGCTTACATGCAATGCAAAATTGATCATAAAGCTGCCTCATTTTCCTTTGTGTGACAAGAATGGTGCTGAATTTAGAACAAATTACAATCCACTATTGTAGTCACAAAACTTAGGCAGTGAGCTGTTGTTACATTGATGGTAACCACAGGTCTGCTTCCCTTCTCTCTTTTCAAGCAAGATTAGATTATTAGATCTCATTTTCCCACTCTTTAGGGGAAATCATGCGTTTAATTTCTTCGTGTCTTTTTATTGTGAAGGTAAACGTGAGGAGTGGAGGATTTTGAGATTTCTTAAGCTGTTATCTTTCTGTAACATCTTTATTGACCAGAATTTTTTTTTTCTTTCCTCTGCTTTCAGTTACAGACATAGAACTGAAGAGGCTCAAAGATGCTTTCAAGAGAACTTGTGGCCTCTCCTATTATATGACCCAGCAGTGCTTCATCAGGGAAGTTCTGGGTGATGGGGTCCCTCCCAAAGTTGCTGAGGTGAGCTGGGAAGTGCTGTTTTGGGAAGCCAGTGGCAGCAGAAAATGAGCAGCTGGATCTGCTGTGCACATACAAATGTTTATGGAGTTGATTGAATTGCTTCCCATTTTTTATGCAACATCACAATGCACCTGGAAATGTTGGATTGTGGGTGGTCAGGGATGTGCTGGGCTGAGATGTGCTCCCAGCACCATTTAATACCTGGTAGATGACTTTGAAGTAAACCTAAATATCCAGATGTAAATTTGGGCAATTAAAAGATTGGCAATTTGTAATAACACATTTTATTTACTCCAGAGATGCACTTGCTGTTGGTTCCTTTGAGATTCCATTGGCTGTTACTTTGTTTTCTAAAGATGAATCTTTACAAGCTCTTAAAAATAAATTTGTTCATAACAGATGTATGAATGAGCTGAAAAATAATCAGAATCAAAATTTGCCACATGGATATAAACATATATCTATCTTTAAAAAACAGTAATACCATCCTACACATATGCTTGTTTAACTTTATTATAGAGTTACCCCTTTCTTGAGAGAGATATCAAAATATTATTGGTAGAGACAATGATTAGGCAGACCTTTCAAATGATCTCTTGCTCCATGTCATTCCTAGTGACAGCCTCTATTTTTGGCATCCTCAGAGCTGTTGACCTGAGTCAAGTCCCCCAGTTTTATTTAGATAATGTGAGTGCTAAAGTGTTGCATTGCTGAAGGTTTTACACTCTGGCAGAGTTCCTTTTCCTCAGCTTAATCTTTTCTCCATTCTTTTTTTCCCCCATTTTTCCTAAATTTTGGCAAAGAGGATGATACTGCTTTACTTCTGTAAGCAGTTGGCTTTTTATGTGGGTGTTTAAGGCTTAGCAGGAGAATTTGCAGTGGAAAAGGAGGGGTCTGATTTGCCCAGAGCTTAAAGCCTGTCTTTAGCATGAATTTTTGAGTTTGAGAGTTGGTAACCCCTAAGATTAAACAACAACAACAACAAAAAAAAAACAAGTATCTTTCACAATATATGATTGGTTTGAAATAGTATAAAATATTGAGAATTTTATGTTCTGTGTTAACTTGTACCTTTATATCCCTTTCAGGTCAGTATTAAGGATTAAATTACTGATTTGGTCACAAATAGAGATTCTGGAGTTTCAAATGTCTGCTGCCTTGTTTTTATTTTATTTTTTTTTAAAAATCTGTCCTTAAAGACACAATTTTGGTGATGATTATCTCTTTTAACACTCATGATGGTTATAGAGCAGTTCTTGGTTTCCAGGTGGTGAAATAAAATTAATGGAAGACTCCTAATTGGTTTTTGATGGCTTCTCATCAGAACTCATCTCAAAATTCGAGTACAAATTATGATGTACTTGTAGCATTCATACTCAGGCAGTGCAGCATCAAATCCGTGAGCTTGAAAACCGTAAATTGGGCCAAAATTGGGATTTGAGTCAAGGGATGCTTTGCAATTCCTGGCTTCAGGATGGGGAGAGGCAGGCAAAGTCATTAGGCAGCTAAAAACCCTGAGTTTTCAGCCTTTCAGTCACTCAAACAGATCATTTGGAGCCTTGGAGCTGGGCTGTGTGCTCTGCATGCTGTGAATGATGGTTTTTCATGTCTGAGGAGTGAGAGGCCTTCAGGAATTTGTTAAATTAAAAACACAGGAGTTTTTATGAGTTAAACTGGACGTGGAACAGAGAACTGAAACCAGGGGAACTTTAATCCAACGGTTTGAGTGATTGTCCTTTTGCACACAAAACATTTTTTAAATGTTCAGGACAGTCATGTTCTGGGAGGATCTCTTGGGAGAATGGGGTTGAAGATATTAATAAAAGGAAATTTAGAGCTGTGTCTGTGGTGTTAAACTGCAGGAGAGCTGCTCAGGTGGTGGGGAGCATAAGCACAGCTTTGGTTTTTAAATCTTGTTGTGCTCTTCAGTTGCCCATGAAACAGAACACATCAGGCTTAAATTTTATTTTAAAAAGTACTATGTACCTTGTAATGATAGCAAATTTTACACTCTGAAATGCAGATTGCTGTCATTCTGCCTGGGTGGGGCTGTTTTAAGTAAAGCTGCAACAGCATTAAGTAATTTTGGAAGACACAAAATTGCATCACATTTTGATGGTGCATGCTATTAGAAGTTTTCCAAATGCCACACCAACGTGAAAAAATGTGGAGAAATGATGTGTTACATGAGTATTCAGTGTTTATAAACTCTTCCCAAGGAATAATTGAGCAGCTAAACTCCAAGCAATGCCAGCTTGCCCGTGGCTGTAATTCCATATATTAAATACTGGTACATTGGACTTTATCCATAGAATTCTTTTCCTCTGTTTATCTCATGAGCAATCCTTGTGTTGTGTTGAAACAATGTATAAATGTAATATTTGGTGCTCATCTGGTCTTGCAGCTGAGATGTACAAAGTTCAGCAGAAGTGAGTGGATATTTTGGCTGCATATTTAAAAAAACAATTATTCCAGTGGAATATGAAGGTAAATTGCTCACATGGGCAGTGTAGCCTTGAAGGCATTTGGTGAAGACAGAAGGATTAGCCATACAAAGTGTGGAATTCAAATCTCTGCCTTGAAACCTCTACAATTGTTGTGTCCAAATAAAGCACAAATTCAGTTTTAATAATTCAGCCCTTCAAGCATTTGTAAATGGATTAAAGTTTAGTACCAGAAGAGGCTGATCTGAGCCCCTGTGGAAATGAAAGTATTTGGGTAATGCTGTGTCTCAGGGTGGGATGGGAGTGAGGGTCAGGGTGGAGAATGAGATCCTGCTGTGCAGGGATTGACATTACCATGCCTGCAGACAGATTTCAGTAGTCCAGAGGGATGGATGGAGGGATGGATGGACAGACAGACAGACAAGGAGAGGGTTTCTGCAGGTGGCCCAGCACTGCTGAGCTGCAGGAGCAGCAGTAAATCTGGTGGAGCCACTGTGTGTCAGGTGTTCCCTTATCACCTTCCTGCCACCACAGCCCTGTGTGGCTTGGCCAGGTCTAGCCTTGCCAGGCCCAGGACTGGTTTTATTTGGGCACTCCCAGTCCTGGCTTTATTTTGACTTGTAGTGGAAAGCACCCCGTGGTGGTGCAGTGACTCACAGGGCTCTGGTGTTCCCCTCTCTGCTGCCAGCCTGGCCTTGGGGATTCCTGCTGCATCCCCTTGATGCTTTTGAGATTATCAGAGCCCAGCCTGGGGGAGATTTCAGCCCTGATGAAGAAATCTGGGGAAACTCCACCACAAGCAAGTGAGAAATGTCTTCACTGGAGGATTCTAATGTGGAGTTTTTATATTGCTGTTGATGACTTGTACCTGTGTTTCACTAAATCAGTACCAGAAGAGCTACAAAAGGGTAACACAATTAATAATTGAAGTGTCTTTAGCTGAATGTGAGCTGCTGGTTTTACTTCTGACATCTCTGCTTGCCCTGGTTCTGGTTAACTTCTCTATTTTATTCTTCTAGGTTATCTACTGTTCATTTGGAGGAATATCCAAAGGGCTGCACTTCAATAACTTGATAGTTGGATTAGTTCTACTCACAAGAGGCAGAGAGGAGGAGAAAACAAAATGTAAGTGATGTAACTTAGTAACAATGAGACAGTGGCTTGTGAGTGTAAAATGTGACCATTTTACAGTGAAGATGGGATTTTTTAAAAGCATTTTTAGCTGTATTTTTGGAAATTAAGTCCACTTTTGTTTTCTATATTCATCAAAATGAAATATTTGCCAAGTCATCATGAATGTCAGTGTTGGGATCCTACAGAAAGCCTGATGGTCTCTGTATGTGGGCAGAGGAAGGAGGATGGCATTGATATTTTTAAAAAAAAATATAAAGCATCTGCCTACTGACTTCTGTTGTTTTGTCTTCTCTGTTAATCTGACTTGATAATACTCTTTTTTTTTTTTTTTTTTTTTTTTGATTACAATGGTCAAAGAAAAGGAAGGTCTTGACCTAAACCTTGTGGACCTGTATTGAACTTGGATCAACCTAAGTGTTTAGTCCTTTAGTAGTTACATAGCCTTTGACATTCTCATCCAGTTATGAACCATGCATTTGAAAAATGTCACTGCCATAGATGTTTACACATATTTCTATTTCCCCAGATATTTTCAGCCTCTTCTCTAATGAATCTGGGAGTTATGTTGTCCGTGAAGAGATGGAGAAGATGCTGCATGTGGTTGATGGGAAAGTCCCAGAGTCACTCAAGAAATGCTTCTCTGAGGTATGCCATGCACCTTTCCTCCTGTTGCAGTTAAAAAATAGTCAAGATTACATTAAGTAGCTTCTTTTTTATACTCAAGCACCTATGGGAACAAACTGACCTTGTTTAAATGGGGTAAAAGCTCATGGGTTTTGTGTTGTGGTGTTCCATGGAATTTATATTGATGGGAGAAGTGTTTGGTGTATAAATTCTGTGTGCTCCTGTATTCTCTGTGCTCCTTGGAAGGAGATCATTTCCCAATGGGAATCGTGTCATCAGGTGAATTTAAATACTAATATTGCTGGTGGGAACTTAGTCATTAGTGTGAACATTTTATTGCAGTCAGGGAAGAAATCTAGAACACAGAGCTGAGAAGAAAGAAAATCTGCACCCTGGGTTTAAAAATGCCTGACAGCCATGATTGCTTCAAAATAATAATTTTATATTAATGCTTTTGTATCATTTTCCTGCCAGGAGCTACAACACTTAATTATGCTTTAAGTTGTTTGAGAGATGTAATCTTTATGGAGCTTGCTGAAGTCCTCCCCTAAAGCAGGGCATTGGTACTTTGCTATATTCATAGATGATTTTTTGACTCCAGGGTTATCAGATGACTAAGACCAGCAAAATGGAGACATCATTGTACATTCCTCTGGCAAAAGGATTGACCAGATTGACTGGAAGCTTTAATTGTGGCTATCAGGTTACTTAATTACTTCAGATTTGATTGTTCTGTGCTGGAGCTAGCTCTGGCTGTGGGCAGTGCCTGAGCCAGGCTCTGATCTGGCCCTGGTGTCCTGTTGGCTCTGGAGGCAGTGATTGCATTCCTGAGTCCTGGCTGCAAGCATAAATCCTGAGTCCACTGCACCTCAGCTTCTGGAGCTGACCCTTGCTGCCATTTCCTATTTATAATTTCCCATCAGTGTGGTGTGATTAATTGCACCCTATGAGTTAATTGCACACTGTCCAAGAAATCCAGAAATACTTTATGAAGCCTTGCAGGAAGATGAGTATCAATCTGGGCTTCAGAGCATTTTCCTGTTCAAGAAAATGCTGCATATTGATTTTTCTTTTAAAATGAAAATAGTGTAATAACCCACTCAGCAGGATTTACTGGGCTCTTAATCATCCATGGTCATTGCTGGAGAGTGAGAAAGTTTAATGTTCCTGCTGTGGGCCTTCCTGCCTGCCTTATGGAGGATGAGTTTGATTTCAAGGATGATGTTTATAAGCACTTATGTTCATCAGAATTGCTGCATGTACTCAGCTAGAAATAGAAGCTTTAGAATATATCTGAGTTTTCCTCTTGTTTCTGGAATACAGGGAAAAAAATCAGTGATAACTGCATTGCTGAGGTTCCATCATAATTCAGCTGTCATCATGCTTTCTTCCTCCTGTCCAAAGTTTTTCTGTTCCTCTTCATTGTCCTTCCAGGGCAAATTGGAGTTTTAATGACCCAGCTCTTGCTACCTTTACAAAGAGCAGTGCTAAAAGTAGAGGGAAAGGGTGGAACAGAGAGTGAGAAAATGTTCCTTTCTCTTGATCTAAACTGCTGGAGAATTGGAAGAATAAGAAATCAAAGTGAGGGTGGGCAGGCCCTGGCAGTGGCTGCCCCTGGATCCCTGGCAGTGTCCAAGGCCAGGCTGGATGGGCTTGGAGCAGCCTGGGACAGTGGGAGGTGTCCCTGCCATGGCAGGGGTGACACTGGCTGGGCTTTAATGTCTCTTCCAACCCAAACCAGTCTGTGATTTGTTGGATGAAAATATAAAACTCTTTAGTCTAGAAAAAGAGGCATAAAAAGAATGAGTATCTGGAACTGAAACAACCCCCTGCAATGGGAATAGGAAGCAAATGTTTCAGCAGTGCTGGTGATGAACCATTGGAGCAGCCTGGCAAAGGGAATACAGTGAATTTTCAATTTTCTGCACTTGGCAGTTGCAGATAGTCCGTGGCCAAATGCAAATTGTTGGATTCTGTAGAGATGTAATTCAGTGAAGTTTAATGGTCTGTGATATGAGGGGAGTTTAAATAATCAATGACTTGAAACCTCTTCCACTTTGCAGACCCCTGTTTATTTCCCCTGGAGATGAGAATCTCCATATAATGAGTTTGTCTACTGATAATGGGTTTGCTTTTATTTGAGGTAGTTTTGTAGGTCCTGTAGAAATTAGTCTGCTGATCCCTATGGTTTCATGGCCACAGCTTGGCAAAGATCCAAATAAATGGTTTAAACAGCACTGGAATTCTGTGAATGTGTAGATTTTAGGTGTTCCTGAACAGGGAGCTCCAGGAGACAGGGAGTGAGGACATCCTGGGAATGTCACGTTCACATTTATGCTCCTGGGTGGGTTTTGGTCAGTAAAGGCAAAAAAGTCCACATGTTCCTGCAGTAATTAATCACAGCATCAGTTATTCCCAAATCTGATTTTTCTGTGTTGTTTGTATACCTGCACAGATAGAACAGAATGTTTATGATTTTATAGCACCTGTTTTTTTGATGCAGCAGAGCTGGTATCTATAATAATACATTTAAATTCATCAAAATAACCTCTGCTCTTTTGAATTGCAAGTAACCATTTTTCTTTTCATGCCTTTCACCTGAGGTTCAGAGTAAATGAGTTTCCAAAGGCCACATTGAGTAGGTGGCTGAAATGCAGAGAGAGCTTAAAGTTAATTTCCCTCCCATTGCTGTTTCAAAAGGAAAGGGAAAAACAGGCATGGCTCCAAGCAGAAAAATTACATTAGCACTTATATTTCTAGGAGATTGTCCCAATTTTTTGTTCATACAGCTGGATGGTTCCTGTTTACTGGCAGTGAGAAAAACAGCTCCCATTTTCTGGTTTTTCTTGCAGGGTGAGAAGGTGAACTATGAGAAGTTCAGGGTTTGGCTGCTGCACAACAAAGACGCTTTCACCTTCTCGCGGTGGCTGCTCTCAGGAGGGGTCTACGTGACCCTCACTGATGACAGTGACACCCCAACCTTCTACCAGACCCTGGCTGGAGTCACACACTGTGAGTAAAGGTGCTTCTTGTCCTGCACATCTTAAAAAAAAAAAAAGCCCTGCCAGAGTTCACAGGCAGAGTTGTTGTTCATTGAATCTCCCTGCTCCGCCACGTTGGCTGCAGTGAGAGAAATTCCTTCTCTGAGCTCATCTGTTCTCTGCTTTCTGTGCTGGGATGTGAAATGTTGTGTACAAGGACACTGGGTTGTTATTTTTAAGAGATAATAATGCTGAGGCTACAACACTTCTCTAGAAGTTTGCTACCAAGCAAGCTAAAAAATAAGTATCTTCTGAAGTGGCTGGCTGATAATACTGGGTTTATTTTTGGTCTTTATAGTGGGTTGTAAAACTACTGAGAGACTTGAGAAAATAATATTTGTTTCAAAAATAAGTGTTACCTCTTAATTTGCTTCTCCAGTAAAATAAATAATATTCCTGGCATGTGGTAGAATTAACTGAAGAGAAGCATCCTCAGGAATTGTCTCCAGAGAAGTGCTTCCTTATGTCTATGTTAATGTAAAAGAAGGAACAGCTGGTTTTTAAATTAAATCCAAAACCAAAAGGCTGATAAATGACACTTGATGTACCAGTGTAAAGCAAGCATCCATTCCATCCCTCAGAGGAGGGAGTTGGTTGTGGAGGTGTCAGGGATCTGAGCAGTCTGGTTGTGTTTTATGTGCTCTCATGGATTTTCCTCACTGGTGTCAGTGTGGCATTTAATCCTCTCATGGTGAGTTACTTGAATAAAGCAGCACACCCTTTTTATCCTCTTGGTTTTAAATGTGGGCATTCAAACTCTATTCTGACCATCTGAAATGAAAATGCATAATGAAGTCAGGAGTTTATGAACAGGTAATTTATTTGCATTACATGAAAGGCTGCAGGAGACATTGAGGTTACAGAAAACCACTGAATATTCTGAGGTCTCACAGACAAGGTAGAGAAAGAGGAATGTGAAAAAAAACCCCAACCCTCTGAGTGTTCTGGAGTTCAGCTCTGGGAAAGATCTTGACCTGTGTCAAACTGAGATCTGCTCTTTATGCTTTGAAATTGAAACTTTCAGAACATTTTTTACTGGGCTTTTCACAGAAAGTTTGTTTATACTGAAACTGAGGTTTGGAATTAAAAAAAAAAATTAATTTAAATGTAACAGCTACTGTTTTAATAGATTTTATTTACTATTTGTTGTTGTTCTCAGTTCTGGTTTTGATATCCCTGTCACTGGTACCATTGTGTCAGAGATGGGATTGAGCTTTTCAGTGAATTCCAGAAATACATGGAGGTGATGTGGTTATTGTCCACAGAATTGGCAAGTTCATGGAACAGTTATGTTTGGAACTCTAGATAAAATTAAATTTTACTGAATTCCCTTGTGATTTACAACAGTGTAGGATTCTCATCCAACAGATGCAAAACTAAGGAAAATGTAAGTGCTTGAGCACTTGGAAGTAATTTCAGCCTAATCAGGTCACTCCAAGGAGTAAGAAATTCAGTACAGAAGTATTTTTAACACAGCTGAATGTGTAAAGCCCTGAGAGCTGCTGAAGGCTTGTTCTTAGTGTTTTTCCTGGGAGAATGGTTGCCTTTGGAAGGACCAGGAAGAAATAATGTTTGGTAAACTGAGGCAAACACCATAACACAGAGAGAGGGAAAGGTTTCCACTTTCTTCTGTTGTAAAATGCAAAGTAATTTGTGCCACTCCCTGGTGCAATCAGGGATTTCTCAGTCCTGCTGCATCTCCTGGCACAAGCCCCAGACCCCCCTCCCCAGCCTTACCTCACACTCTGCTTCCCATCCAACTTCTTGGACAATATGTCAGAGCCATAAAAAATGGCAGTGATAAAAACAGGGAAAGTTATTCCCTTTGATTTAGGAACAGCCCCCATTTCATGCAAGGCATCAGTGACTCCATTTAAATTTGCTTAATGAGCCAGGCTATCAGGGAAACAAAGGAATACTAATTTTTCATTTGTAAATAGCATTTGTTTTGGTGTGCAGATGACTTTAATTACATTTCTCAACACATAATTAGAAATGAAATTTTAAAGTTACAGGAAGTTGCACACACTTGCTGCTTTTAATCAAATTTTGTTCCGTTTCATTTAAATCAGAAATATGAATAATTTTATTTGAAAGCTGCCAAAATAGCTGGCCTTTGTTCCTAAAAAGCAGTTTCAGGGGTATGGATTTGTCTTACACCTGAGAAGTGACCAAGTAGCAGTAGTTTGGATTTTCTCAGTTCTGTAGAATGATCATATGCATTTAAATTTATTTAATATATATTTTTTTTGAAGCCATCACATTGAACAGCACTGTGGTGGAGCCTGTAAATCCCACACTTCTGTCACACTGACTCAGGGGACACCTCATTGATTTCCTTCATTTAGCTGGAAATGTTTTTTCTGCTGCAGCATAGGTGCTGGTTGTCTTTTTTATGTGTCATTTTGGTGTGACTCAGTGTCATGCAATGGGCTTAGATACTCAGGTTTTCAGCCCTTTTCCATGGGGAAAATAATTCTGTTCATCAGGTTGCTGGTTTTGAACTGACAAAATGTTTAATTTGTACTTCTTTGTCACCCAGTTCTTGTGTCACTGAGTTCTGATTAAATAACATCCAAATTCCCCTTTGCATGGAGGAGACTCCTGTGTTGTCAGAAAAATTCACCCAGTTCTTTCTGACAGCTCTCACCCACCGAGGGGCACTTGTGACTGCAATCAGTACAAATAATCCTATTTCAGAATATACATTTATCACTGTTTAGTACAGTAACAAAGAGGAGCCCTGGCTAAGCAGGCAGGGTGGCTGAAATGGAAGAGGCAGTTTTGGAAACAGCACAAAATCCATGCTGGGATTGTCAGCTCTGGGGGAGGATGAGATGGGAGGCTGAAAGCAAAGTGCAGTGAGGGGATCCCTTCCCTCTGCTGGCATTAAAAGGCTGGGTGTTAAATACATTTCTGGAGCTGGGCACCCACTCCACAACAGGCATTCGTGGAAGGAACTAGAACACAATCCTGGAGATTCTGGCTCTGTGAAAGCCAAAATCCTCAAATTTTGTCTCTGAGAAAATCCAAACTATGAGATCTGCTTTGAAGGGCTGGTTTCATTCTGTGCTGGGACAGGAGCTGTGCTCCTCACACCTCCCTGCTCCCACCTTGAGGCACTGCCCATCCCTCTGAAATCTGCTTTAAAGGGCTGGATTCATTCTGTGCTGCCTCTGCCAGGTGTGAAGCCTGTGCTGGGACAGGAGCTGTGCTCCTCACACCTCCCTGCTCCCACCTTGAGGCACTGCCCATCCTTATTCTGCTGTGTGAACACCTGGGGGGCCGTGCCTGACACACACAGGGATCTCTCTTGGCTGAGGCTTCAACATTCCCTTCCCTGTGTGTTTGTTTTTAATTAGGAGGAGCACAAAGATGAAAGTCTGACAGCAGCCCAGGCCAATAAGTAAAAGCCTTGGTGTCACTTAATCTGTATTTTGCCACTTGTTATCCTCTTAGTTCCAGGCTATTTTATGTCTTGCAAAGCAGCTCTCAGTCCCAGAGTCTTCTGGGGGTTAATTTGACAGGCACAAAGGGGAGTTTTGAGTGAGAAGCAGTGCTTGGTGTCATTTTGGGCTCCTGCCTGGCCATGAAGAGCCCTCCCTGCCAGCAGAGGAGCCCGTCATGGTGAGCAGGGAGCAATCCAAGTCCTGGTAAAATGTTGGGAATATGGTATGTTTCTGCTGCTGTGAGCCAGAGAGGATTGTACCCATAGGTGGGTAAATATTGAACTGCTGTCATATACTGCAATACTTGGTGAATTCTAGAAAGAATTGTAGTAAGCTGTAGCTGAAATGAAAACATGCTTATAAATTTGTTTTCTAAGGCAGAAGATTCGTGGCTTGGTGTCTATGGAATATTTTAGAGGGGCATTTTGTGGGAATGGCATTAAAATGTAACATGGGGGTTTGGTGTTTATCACTGCCATGCACCTGGCTGTTGATCAACGTTCTAAATTAACTCATTTTTAGTAGTTTCACAGTTTTAGATGATAGTTTGATTGAAAATGTTTATTTGTTCTTCCTTTACAAGAAGAGGACTGTGCTTCAGTTGTACTTATTATCATCCCTCTGATTATATTGCTCTAATTCTTAGAGAATTGAACAAAAAAAAAAGTATTCCTAGTTTTACAGATTGTATTTCTAATGGGCAAGTGATGAGGGAGACATAAATCAGCATGTGGTAGTAAACTGCTTAAATTTCTCAGGTGCATCATGTCCATGTGACCTCAAATAATCATATCATGTATTTAATTACCAAAATGAATAATTACTTGGCCTAGAAAGCCTGTGTGTCCTGAGGTTTTGGCCTATATCGTGTATATAAAATACATCCTTTTAAGTAATCTGAATGAAAGCCCAGTTTACAGTTTGATGTGATTTGAACAGATATTAGGGGGAAAAGTATGTATTTTGAAAAGATAAAATCTTTTTTATCTGTACAAAACCTCTGTGGAATGTGGTGTTTTGTCATGCACACTGATATGTTTGGGTGTTGAGTGCAGTGTGCCTTTCTTTCCCATGCTTCATTGAACTTCAGTAACAAATGTGATTATGTGTATAATCATAAATTGCCAGAGATTTCTTTTAGTTTGCACTCATGGAGGAATAGATGGTGCACTGCATATCCTGAGATTGATTTACAAGATTATGTGAAAACTTAGTCTGGAGAAATCAAATTATGCAACAGCTGCTGCTCAGCTGCAGTTGAACTTGCCTGTGCTGCAATCCAAGAAATGCTGCTCCCTTTTTGCACTGGGCTGCAATTTGTTGTAGCTGTCAATGAGAAATATTCTTTTGTCACATTTTTACTCGTGGTTAACCTGATTTGTGGAAGGCTAATCAGTGCTAAGAATGTTATTTACTACGTGGTTTTGCTTTCTAAAATGCTTGGCTCCTGTGCAGAAAGTCAGTGTATTTGGGCTAGAATAAAAATGTAACACTTGTGCTAACACTTATCAGCTGTTCTCTTAAAGGTGATTATTTGAAAATTCTCTATCTTTAAGTGACCATGATGTCAGTTCAACCACTGTGAACACAAACAGATGCTTTGTGATAACCTTTCTTTTCTGAGCTGAAATAATAAAACAATGGAGTTACCACTGTAGAAACATCTGTGAAGTGCAAGCAAAAAAAAATCAGAATACAACTAACTTCTACTGTAGGTATTTGAGAGAGGTTCTCTGGCAAAATATAACATTCTTGCAGTTCTTAATTGCTAAAGATAAATATTGCACCTGCCAGAGAAAGCTTTCTGCAGATTTACTCTTCAGTGAGGACAATTTGAGCTTCCTGCTGGCTTTTGAATATTCTCAGTGTTGCATCACTTGAAGAATGAAGTGCTGCTCACACATTTGTTATTCTTCCTACTTCCAGAGGTGGATTAAAAGGAAGCAAAGTGATTTACATGGTCATGCACAAGAGAACATAAATAATCTTTTGTGTTTGCTAATGAGAGCAGTAAGGTGGAAGTGGAATTCCTGTAAATGGCAGCACAACCTCCCCTCTCCCATTGTTTGGGAAGGGGAAGAGCCCTGGGATTCTCCTCACATCTCTGATATTTCTGTGTGCTGATCTTTAAAGAAATTACTCCTCTTTCTTGATTTCTAGTAGAATTATATTAATTTATAAATTTGGATTGCTGCTGCCTCGTGTATTTGGGGACAGATTTCAGTAGGTGATAGGACGTGGGGAAATGGGTTTAAACTGAGAGTAGCTGTGAGGGAGAAACATTTGTGGTGAGGTGGTGGATTCCTCATCCCTGGAAACATTCCAGCCAGGTTGGATGGAGCAGCCTGATCCAGTGGAAGGTGTCCATGGAGGAGCTGGGGGTGACCTTTAAAGGTCCCTTCCAACCCAGAGAACTCTGTGGTTACACCCCAGCCACGAGCCAGGGGATGCCAAAACAGATCAGGGGATTGGAACATCTGGGAAGGAGGGCAGAGGAGAAAGGAGATGAGTTTTCCTTCTGGATCAGCTCTTCTCTCCCTGTGTGCATGCCCAGGAGCTGGGAGTGATGCCCTGAGGAACTGGGGAGGCAGGGCTGGGCTTGGCACCTCTGTCACTGCTCTGAAGGCGCTCAGGAAGGGGACATTTGTCACTGATGTCACTTCTCCAGCTGGGCTGTCTAACAGCACCTTACAGGAAAGTGCAAACCCTCTCCTTTCCTCCAACTCCAGATATTTTATCCAGATTTCTCCACTCTTTCTGCCGCTGAGGGTGAGGGTTGTGTAAGTTTGGTGCATCATGTGATGCTCCTGCTGGGCACTTACAACTTCTTGATACTCACTGCAGGTTACCTAAGTTACTATTTTAAGGAAATTACTGCCACTAATGACAGAAATGGGCAAAGAAATCAATAAAATTTCGATTTTACACAACTTTTTAGGTGGAGCCCTTCAGTTCTTAAGGCTTACAGGATTATTATTGTTTCTGTGGACTAAACCAGGCCAAATAGCTCAAGTTAAACCTATTAGAAAACTGGCATGGATTTAAAGGCTCAGAACCATCTGGGAATGAGATCACACGTAGTGCTTCTTAATATAGACAGCTTTGTCATTACAGATCTATTTGAGAACCAATTAATTGGCACTGACCTAAAGCACTGTTGTGACACACTTGCATATGTAAAAAGGTTAAAAGTATTGTTGGGCAGAAATATAATCTTGTTTTATATAGATATATATATTTAATTTCAAGGATAAAGCATAAAGAGAGCATTTGTGTAGAATGTTTTGAAGGAAAACATAAGTTCTTCCTCTGGCTATTTTTATCCATCCTTGCACCTTGTTTTATTTCTTGGGTTTGGGGTTTTTTTCCCTTTTTAAATTGCCTTCTAAGTTCCTCTGCATTGTAGGTTTGTGTGACCACTCCCCAGTGTTTACTGTATATTAAATAATTATAAATAATTCTATAGTATAAATAATAAAGTGAATCAAACTATTTTATATTTGGAAAAAAATAATGCTGACATACAACATTTAAATGCCACATTAAAATTTAGCCTTATTACTGTATAAAAAAGCTAAAAATTTAAAATAGAATTTTTTAAGGGCAGCCAAGTACTACACAATTCTTCTCCATAAAAGATCTGGGATTTTTTTTTTTAATGCTACTTCATGTCTTTTTTGAGGCTTTTAATACTGAATACCCTGGGAAAATAAAATACTGCACATACAAGCTGCCTGTTCCAAACAGAAATAGGTGAACAATAAAGAGGGAAAACAGTGGGAAAAGTTAATTTCTGTGTTTCTACACACTTGTGATGATGTTAGTGATGGTGAACTCCTCGATGGCGAATAGGTGAGAAGATTCTGTGGCCAGAGAAGGTAATTTGGGGTTAATTCTGTTGGTTCTGCAGTGGAAGAATCTGACATCATTGACCTGGAGAAGAGATACTGGCTGCTGAAGGCTCAGTCACGGACTGGACGCTTCGATTTGGAGACATTTGCCCCCTTGGTGTCCCCCCCAATCCATCAATCCCTGAGTGAAGGTATGGAGGGAGAGCAGGGAGGAACTCTGCTGACTCCCAGCTGGGATGGCTCTGAAGTGTCTGTTCTGAAATGTCCTTTCAGCTTCAAGGACACAATAACTTCACTGAGTTCTGGAAAATGGGAAAAGAGGGAAAATCTCTGTTTGCTGGGAGATCTGGGGTGCTGAAGGAGGTGTTGCATTGCTAGGCAGGAAATCTGTCAGATTTTATGTAGAAGTTGCCCTGTAGTTGCTTAAATTTTTTTCTTAAGGTTCTGTAAAGACAAAATAAACTGCTGGGCCTGAATGAGAGAAAACCAAGCATTTTTAAACTGACAAATGGGAGTTTCATCTATTAAATGACACCTCAGTTGTTGTATCATGCAGCCCATGAAACACTCCTCCCTAAAAAGTAAATTAAGGAAGATTTCATTCAGGAGACTCAGGAGATTTGTAGGTTGTTATTTCTACTGACAACCAAACTGGTCTGTCCAGTTGAAGGCACTCTGGTAATAACTGGAGTTGTCCCATTGCCATTTGCTGCATGACATGGGGACATTCAGGGACATGCCACTTGCACTCCAGTTCTGGTCTGCAGTCCTGGAGTGACAATTTTATTATTTCCAAAAAGTTGGCTTTACTGATAAGTGGCAGCAGTAAGTAACAAATGGGAAAGTCATCTGCAATGGTAAAAAATCAGAATTTATGTCCAGTTCTGTAGGAATCTATCCCCACATCCTTTTTTTTTTCCTGTGTCTTTTATCTACTTAGTGATTTAAACTTACACAGCTGCTGTGGGGAAACTTGAATGGTTTCTGCTCATTCTTTGCCTTCTGTGGAGTCATTTTTGCTAAAAAAATATATAAGTTATGGGATAAATAATGCTGAATGATTTGAACTCTTAAATGCTTTGAAGGCTGGTAGCTAGAGCTCTCATTCAGGTCCAAATTTGCAGTGTTCAGTGATTTCCAGAGGAATTTCTGCCAGGCAGAAGGAAGCTCTGGCCAGACAGGTTCAGCTCCACTCTCAATCACTCATTCCAAGCAGGGTGTGAGGACCAGGCAGCTGTTCAGAATTCTTGATTCCCTCCCCACCCCTGGCTGGATCAGCCATCCCTGAGACATCTAATTCACCTTTAAATGGCCTTAGTAGTGCTTAATTACCTTTATTACACTTAATGAGAATAAATGACAAGTGTTTGTACTTCTCCTTGCCCATGTTCCCCATTAACCCCTCGTGGAGGTGCAGGGTGGCTCTCTCAGGTGCTGTAACAGGAGATGCTTTTGTGGTTTGCAGGTTTGTTTAATGCTTTTGATGAAAACCGAGACAATCACATAGATTTTAAAGAAATTTCCTGTGGGCTCTCAGCATGTTGCAGGGGACCCTTGGCAGAGAGACAGAAGTGTAAGTATGCAAAATTTAACTGTTAATTTGAGAGCACTTTTTCAGTTTGAACAATGAGGTTTAGTTGTTTTCACCTTTTGAGATTCTTTTTCCACTGAATAAGTCTGTGAAAAGTTTTAAAAAAAGAGGAATTTTAAATATCAAGGTTTCCTCTTATAAAGGATGATTAAACCTAATTCCATGTATTTTACAGTTTATCAGTACTTTCATGTCAATTATCTAACTGGGAAAAACTACATTTCAGAAGTTCTTTTTTCAGTGTTCTGCATTTTGAGGCAGAAGTGTGTATCTCAATATAGAAAGTGCAAACACTTAGCTACTCATTATCTATAATAGAAAACAAATGTCCTATTTGATTGTCTTGTGGTAAACAGCATGTTGTGGCTTTTCACTGCCCAGTTCCCAGCTGGCTCCCTGCAAGGTTCCTGTGTTTTGAAACACTTTTTTGTTCCCTACTTCTCCAAAACCACATTATTGCAACTTCCAAGCTGTAATTCCCTGGAAATTTCTGGATGCACACACGTTCCCTGCTAGGTCCCATCAGCAAACACAGCAGAGCGTGGCAGGGATGTGGATTTGAGTTTATCAAACACAGCTGCTCCATTTCCTCACCCCCACACGTGCATCCCCCTTCAGAACTGTCAGCCCTGAGTCAGCTGCTCGGGGCTCTGCAGGCTCAGGGGCTGCAAGGAATAAAGAAAAAAGAGTTGTGCAATGGTTCTAACAGCAAAGTCATTCCCTTTTCCCTCAGTTTGCTTCAAGGTGTTTGACGTGGACCGCGATGGGGTCTTGTCTCGCACCGAGCTCAAGGACATGGTGGTGGCACTTCTAGAGGTCTGGAAAGACAACAGGACAGACAAAATACCTGTGAGTGCTCTCTGGGGGTTGATAATTTCTGTTTCCTGAGCCATCCTTGCAAAGGAGGAATGTGCATCTTGTTTGGGTGGGGGTCAGTGAGGTACAAGCTCCCCTGAGCCCCTCAGCTGGGGAGGGGGACAGGTGACTGTCCCTTGCCTTGCAGAGCCTGCCCCAAGCACAAGGCTGGGTTAGAATGTGTGTCCTGACCTGCCCAAATCCCAAGGTGTGGTTAAATGTGTCTTCTGACCTGTCCAAATCCCAGGGTTTGGTTAAATGTGTCTTCTGACCTGCCCAAATCCCAAGGTTTGGTTAAATGTGTGTCCTGACCTGCCCAAATCCCAAGGTTTGGTTAAATGTGTGTCCTGACCTGTCCAAATCCCAGGGTTTGGTTAAATGTGTGTCCTGACCTGCCCAAATCCCAAGGTTTGGTTAAATGTGTGTCCTGACCTGTCCAAATCCCAGGGTTTGGTTAAATGTGTGTCCTGACCTGCCCAAATCCCAAGGTTTGGTTAAATGTGTGTCCTGACCTGTCCAAATCCCAAGGTTTGGTTAAATGTGTGTCCTGACCTGTCCAAATCCCAGGGTTTGGTTAAATGTGTGTCCTGACCTGTCCAAATCCCAGGGTTTGGTTAAATGTGTGTCCTGACCTGCCCCAAGCTCAGTGCTTTGTCCATAATGTGTGTTCTTTCATATAAAGAAAGGTACAAAAGCACAGATTTTTTTTTTTTTTTATCTGAGAGCCCTTGATTTGAATTACTGAGAGTTTCCAGCATCTCTTACAGTTTTAGTTTTATTCTGAGCACATCCTGCTGGGAGACTTTAACTCTGATTTCTGATCCTTTTGTTGAAGGAGTTGGACATGGGTTTGTCTGAAATCGTGGAAGATATTTTACATGTGCATGATAACACAAAGGTAGGAATTTGCTGTTCTTCCCTTGTCATTTTTATACCCCGGTATCTTCAGTTTATTTATAAGGAAGTGCTTTCTTTAGAGCAGAGATGTGTCAATAAAAGAATCTTTTTCAAGAAATGTCAGTTTTCTATTAAAATTTACCACGTTCTGTGGAAGAAAGAATGTGTTTGAATTTTATAAGCCATTTTAATACATGAAGCTAAACCCAAAATGCATAACCAGATGAAATTAATTGGAAGCTTGCACTGTTTGCAAGGCTCTGCTGTGCATAACTAACACCACTTTTAAATCTGATGCTTGACTTCTGTTCTGGGGGAACTGTTCTTTGTTTCCTGTTAAAATTGATCTTGAGGGAGAGAGCAGAAGTTTATCTTATATTTTATGCTGTGTCAAGACACATTATCCTCCTGTGGAGGCATCTGTCATGACACAGCAGAAAGTCCTGGTAGTTTATATTGTGCCTTAAATGTGGCTGGGTGTAAATCTGTAATTATCTGTAATTCTCCTCCTTGCTCTTTGGAAATAAGAGATTTGGAGATATCCACAAAAAATATTGTTGAAGTTGCTTCCATTATTTCATCCTTTGCTTCACTAATTGGGAAGAGTGTCTGGAATCGATAAATAATTTATGAAAAACTATGAAGAATGTCTAGAAATGTTTAATTATGTGTGTGAATAGTTGTCCTGCCTGCTTGTACTCCAGCAAAGTGGTGGGCAAATACTTTATTGTAATTCTTTAATTGCCAAAGCAGTGGAAATTGTGGTTTCTCTCTTTTATCCTTTGATGTTTTTATTGATTTGCTTCTTGAAAAAAGGGTAGTTTATAAGCAAATGTACAGCAGTCCTGATTCCACAAAGAGTTAAAAAAGAAGATTTCAGTCTTCAGAATATTTTTTTAGTGGCATCATCAGTGTAGTGCTGGAAAGAGCTGATGGTGCAGTAATTACATAAATTATTTAACCTCTTTTCATGTGTTAGCTTTGACCTGGGTTTTTCTGGAGAAAATGGTCTGTAAGGAGAGGCAGAGTACCTGCCAGTGCTGTAAAATTGGCTCTGAATTATATTGCCAGATACAAAAATCAGATTGATCCCTTCACTGAGTCAGAGACCCCCCTGACGTGGTTAGTGTTCCACCACTGTGACTTGGCAGGTGATGAGGAATTAATGGGATTTCTGTTGTTAGGTGAGATCACAGGGGCCTGGTGACCCAAACTGGTTTTTCCTCCCCTCAGAGGGGGATGTGGGTGTGTGAGGGATGCAGGTGATGGACACTGGATGGGAGTGATGAAGAGGTTCCTCACTGGGCACTGCTCAGCCCTGCACTCTGAGCTGCTCAGTTCTCCAGGCTGCCTAGAACTGGAATTCTAGATAATAACTCTTATGCTAGAACTGTTTTTTTTTTTCTTTTTCTGGATCAAATTTTATTTAAATAGTGGTAGATGCCAATTTTTATCAATTCCCTGGTTTTGTCCTGCCTTGCATGAGACAGGTAATGAGCATTTTACCAGAACCAGGTTCATGTTTTGATGGTTTTTCCTTCCCTTTCCTTCTCTTCCTTTCCAGCTTGGACACCTCACTCTGGAGGACTACCAGATATGGAGTGTGAAGAGTGCTCTTGCCAATGAATTTCTAAATCTGCTTTTTCAGGTGTGTTTAGGGGAAATCTAAGGTTGTAATTTACAGTAATTAACTGCTGAGCTTTCTGCATGGCCACAAAGTGCAGCATCAGCATTTGTGTGCACGGGAGGGGATGTGGCTCTGCAGCTCTGGGCTGCCTTGGCAGAGTGATTCTCTCTTTGATTGTTGTTCTTGCAGTGCATGGAATGCCCAAAGCCTCATCTGTTCAAGAGAACCTGGTGCACTGCTCAGAAAATGACATTTCGACTGCATCAGCAATTATGGTTTCCATTAGACAAAGGCTGTGTTTGAAATGATTTTTGTGGCAAATCTTTGCCAAGAAAGTAACCCAGGGAATGAGAAAAAAATCTCTAATTCTTTCCTTTTTCATTTTACAACCAGTTTCCTTTCACATTTGCTGTTAAGGCCCTCTAAGGTACCTCTCATTGCTTCCTTAATGAAGCAGTCCTGGAAAGCTGGGATATCCTATCACTGTTCACTTGCAGAAGCTGAGGATTAAGTGTGTGCTGAATTGGGTTTTAATTGAGCTTGAATTGGATTTCTCTAAATCCTTGAAAGCCATATTTTAGCTCTGCCTCACTTTGTGCAGAAAATAACCCTGAAGAGTATTTTCATCCACTGCAGTTTGTTCCTTACCTGTTTTCCTTTGAGGTTGACACTTGGAGCTTGAATTATAATAATAATAATAATCCTAATTGGCCTGTGAGTACTTTATAAATTGCATTTTGAATGATACTTTCCCCAGAGCTTCAGGGTGACTGAGTGAGTGAGAGTATCCTGAGGCCACCAGCTACACCACAGCTGGAAAGAATAACACCAGAAAGTTCTTCAAATTCATTTTATCTCTAATTACATCAAGTTTGCTGAAGTTGCAGCCTTCTCCAGAAGGGCTGTCTTTATTTTTGGCCTGTCTGGTATCAAATATCCCCTCATAACTAAGTATTGATGAACTAACAAATATCCCTTCAATCTTGACAAAGAATGAATGAAGATGTAATAAATCTGTCTTAATGCTGATTACACATCACCAGTGTTGCACATTGCTCATTGGAAGTCTAATTTACAATATTTTTTTCCTCCTGGCATAGCTGCTGTGTTTTCATTTTAGATTTTAATTTCAATTTTTTTTTTATGTAACTTTATCACGTAAAGCACAGGGCAGAGTCTGCCATTGATTTATCTGGGCATTTATTTGAGGTGTCATGTGCCTCATCTGCAGACAGAAAAGCCAAATATTCTGAGTGGAAAGCTTGTCAACAAATGGGTTTGTTTGCAGAGGGGTTGGTTTATCTGAAGAATCTCATTTTAGCTACACAAATTTAAAAAGAAACACCAGACCCAGCTGTGTTGTGTGTGCTGGAAAATCTGTTGCTACCCCCTGGCTAATGGCCTTTGTTTCATTCAGAATGTGAAATGGTCTCTCTCACTGTAACATAAATTTAAATAAGACTTCTTAGCAGTGATTAGAAATCTCCAGCTGAGATACAAATTGATAACCTCAAAAGAGACATAAGGAGAAGGCTGCAAATCATGGGGGGAGCAGCAAAACCATCTGGGAGGGTCCTGAGGAGCCCTTCCCTCCTCTCCTCCTCTCCAGCTCTACTGGGAAAGGAGTGAAGCAGGAGCCACCTGACACTGGTTTGTACTGGGAATAAAACCCTGCCCAGGAGATGGGGCCTTTCCTTCCAGTTCAGTTCAAAACTGAATTAAAAAAAGAGAAAGAAAAATAGCACCAGACATGCAGAGCATGCCCTGCACTTTGCAGAGTGGTTTTGGCTGTGGTTTGGGTTGGTTGCTCTGCTTTGAAGTTCTCCCTCAGCCTCTCCAGTGCTTGTTTCCCTCTCAATCCCATCTAGAACCACTCATTCCCAGTTTTTTCTCTTTCAATTCCTTTTAACTTTTAGTTCATCCTCTTCCAACCACTTGCACTCTCCCAGTTCCTCGTTCCCTCTCCCCAGCACACCCAGACATCCTAATTTGTGTATCTGATCCACTGCAGTCCTGGGATCTGTCACAGCCTGAAAATAATGGAAACTGCTTTTCTATTATTATTATTATTATTAACCTCAGCATTTGTCTTGGGGCATTTGAATTCTTGCTGCCTTTATCTTAACAATGGGAACGAGGTGGGAATCTCACAGCTCAAAAGACTTTTTTATTAGTGATTTATTCAATTTTAAGTAATCTTGCTCCATTATAAAATGATAAAAAGTCTCATCTGAGTTGTTTATTTGCTTTTTTTTGCCTTTTAATAAGAATTTGTTTCATTTTCCAGGTGTGTCACATCGTTTTGGGACTGCGACCTGCCACCCCAGAGGAGGAGGGACAGATTATTAGGTGTGTGCTTTGCTCAAAGCTTAAATGGCTTTCAGATCCACCTTTGAGTGTTTTCAAAAGATCTGGAAATTCCCTGTTTGAGCTAAAAATTCCCATTCTCTCTGTGCAGAGGCTGGTTGGAAAGAGAGAGCAGGTATGGCCTCCAGCCAGGGCACAACTGGTTTCTCATTGCTATGCCCTGGTGGCACCAGTGGAAAGAATATGTCAAATATGTAAGTAAAATAATAATAATAATAATAATCTATATTGAAGAAGTGTTTTCTTGCCTTTCTGAATGAGTTGATGGAAAAACCAGTGTGGAGGAAGTGACTGCTGAACCAATAATGCTCAGAATTGAGCATCTCCTGTCTCTTGGTGGAAAATAATTGTTCTGCTGAATCATTGTTATGTGGGGAGCTTTGCACTGTAATGTCATTAAATTCTCATCTCTTTCATCATTCCTGCATCTTAAGATTATTTTTGAATAAAAACCATGCTCACAGGAGCATTTATTTCACATTTTCTGATCCATCTGATAATAAAGCTGCCCACTTTGGGTTTGACTTGGCTTGGGCCACAAAACACTGAATTTTCTGGACAAAGGAGGAAATTGCTATAATTTGCTTTAGAGGCAATGACAAAAAATAGCTTAATACCCAATCAAAGGAGTCCTACTAAAACTTTTTAGATGCAGGGTGCTCTTTAATACCCTTTAATTAAAATACTTACGCTAAAGCACCACTGAATTGTACAAAATGCAGAATATTTAATAAAATGTAATTGGAGATAAATATTATTTGCAGGCTAAACAAGTGAAATAAACCTCTCAAAAGAGTTTTTGTACCCTCATAAGTAATCACATAAGTACTTGATTTGTTTTATAAAAACAAATAGCTGAAAGTACTCAGAAAACTGCAATGTGTGCGTTAACTAACCTTGTAAAGACCATCATTCTTTGTGCACAATGAATTGGCCAAATGAGGGTTGAAATGCCAGAATTGCCAGGTAATTTGATCCTTGCCCTGGTGTGAGTGCTCAGATGTGCACAGGATTTTATCCCTAATCCTTTGCATAATGGCACAAGGCCATTACTCAGTGCACTTCTCAAGCAAAAGTCAAAAACCACCAGAATTTCTCTGAAAATGATGCAGGTTTGAGGGGAAAAAAGTGGTTTTTGTTGTTATGCTTGTTGTTCTCATGTAACCATATGAACTTCAAGTCTTCAAATATTTGCAGTCTGTGATTATAGCTGTTTAAAACCAGGTATATTTTTATATATTTAGGTAGGGGAAATAATTTTGGAATTCTGGCTTTGTGCAGCATGGTTTATTTGATTGTTTTGACAATTTTGGGAGCTGATTTCTGCTGATTTTTTTTTTTTTTTTTTTTTTTTTTTTTTTGGTACATATAGAAAGCATTTTTCCATCAGCAAATCTTGTGATGTGCAAAAGCAGTCACAGAACTGTGAATTTTTGGTGGCTGATTTGACTGACACATCTTTGATCTTGGCTCATAATGAACTTTTCTGTTTCTTCCCACCTCTAGGATGCAAACCCAGTTGTGATAGAGCCTTCATCTGTCTTGAGTGGAGGTAAGAATCCCCTGGTAGCTGCTGCAGCCAATACCCCAGAACAGGGAGAAGACAAAATGGGAGGTCTTAATGACTTCAGTGCACCAGAAGAAAAGTTTTCAGATAATATTTCCACTGCCTCAGAAGCCTCAGAGTCCACCAGCAGCAGTAAGCATCTTATTTCCTTGGAGGTTTAATGTAGAACAGCTTTTGGGAAAACTGCACACTGCATGGACCCCTCCAGCCAGAGACATAGCACAGCTTGCATTGCAGGGGTTTTAGGATTTTTTTGGGAATTTTTTAGGATTTTCTAGTCTGTGCTGGCTAAACACAAATTCTTGTTTAACAGCAGTTCATCTGTTATGCTGGGATTCATTTCCAGAATTATTCTCAAGGTATTTTTTTTGTCCTGTTGTTTATTTTCTAAGTGGATTTTTTCCCCCTGCTTTCACATTAAGTTGTTTTAAGCTGGTTGATCCTGTACTCTGCCATGAAATGATAGTAAAAAGGGAAGAAGCAGCAAAAAACCATGAGGAAAATCACAGTTGTACTTTTGCAGGGCATGTGATTTAAATTTGAATGAGTTTGTGCAGATCCTAAGAGCCATCTTTGTGAAAGAAGACATTTTAGTCCTGATTTTCAAGGAGTTCTTGTGAGAATTGGAGATGTTTTTTTCTTGTAAGGCAGCTGAAGGTTGCATCTGATATTTTAAAATCATAACTTCAGTTGAAGTTAGGTAAATTACTGTGATGTTTTGGGTATAGGGGTTGGGGGAAACAAAGGGTAGAGAGACAAAGGTTGGTTGTTTTTTTTTAATTTTAATTGAAATTTCCATTTCGTTCTGCATGACCAAAGCAGCTTCTCTAAGAATAAAATAATTTGCCTTTTCAAGGAAAAATAAACCAAGGCATTATTGGATTTATCTTCAGTTCTGTATGTGAGTTTTTAAGGAGTGTGATATTCAAACATCCAGATAACAAAATACCACATTTGCTCTTGCAAAGCTGGTTGGGTTGCTTCAGAGCTGTGTTAGTGTAATCATGAAATAAAATATAATATAAAATCATAAATCTCTTTCTGAGTGATAACAGATTTATCCCTCTGGAGGTGGAAGAGTTGCATGTTTCACTGCAGGAGGAAGGGCAGCAAACTTGATGTTTTTAAAAACAAGGATACAAGAGTGTAACTCATTCCTTTGTGGTTCATGGGATCAGGAAGTGAATGATTTCTGTTTTTTCTCCTGCTTTGTGCTCAGATACTCTGTACCCTGGCACCCCAGGCTCTGAGGTGAGCTTTGCAAGGCAGCACAACACTTCAGACAATAACAACCAGTGTTTCCTCGGGTCCAATGGGAATGCTCTGCTGCAGCTGAACCCCCAGAAACCAGGAGCTATTGATAACCAGCCCCTGGTGACCCAGGAGCCAGTCAAGGTAAAGGCAGCCAAGGCATGGCCATAGAGGAAAAGCATATTTCAGCTCTCTTTTATCACAGATTTTTTATATTGGTTATTTCAGCTTAATTCTCAATCAATGCTGTTCTGTCATACAGCAAAATTGAGGTTTCTTACTCTTATTCTAAGAGGGGAAAATTGTGTTCTGCTTCTACAGCTACTCTTGTGTTTTGTGAGAAAAGAAACATTCAAAATATTCTTACAATTGGGAAGGTATTTATGAAAAGACAGCTTGCAGCATTAAATGTAAAATACTTTGATAATCAAACACTTCAGCATTTCCATCTAAATATGAATTGACTGCTGCTGCATAAGGAGATACACTGCAAAAACTATCAGTTTTGTTTTACTGAGTGCAAATAGAACATGAAACACAGACCTGCAGCATCAGTGCTGAGCAGAGGTGGGATTTTTCTGTTCACAGTTGTTGGAGTAGGTGACACAAGAGCAAAACACATGAATTTTGTACTGCACAAGCTTTTACAGAACCAGTAAATAATGAGACTTGAACGTTAATTACTGTTACATTTAACTACCATCTCTCAGTGTGAAAAGCAGCTGCTAATTGTTACTTAGAAGTCTTTCAATAATTAAAGAGTGTTCAGTGCTCATGAACTAAAATCATTGTGGCCATGTACTCATTTCTCCACTTGAGATGTGACAAAACCTCTTTTTTGTTGTTTTAAAGGCTGCATCATTAACTATGGAGGGTGGAAGGTTGAAGAGATCCCCACAGCTGGTGGAAGGAAAGGACTATGTCATGGTGCCAGAACCAGTCTGGAGAGCACTTTACCACTGGTATGGAGCAAACCTGTCCTTGCCCAGGCCGGTGAGTTGTGATTTTAGACCCTTTCTGACAACCAGAATTTGTCCAGAGGTAACCTCTTGCAGTCATCTCCCACTTCATGCTGTGTCTGGAAGAGCAAACTGGGAAAAAGCAGCCTCCAGGCTGGCCCTGGCTGGAAAGCTGTGGCTGTTTAGCAGGGGCTCTGGCAGCAGGGCTTGCTAAAAAACACAAAACCAAACCTGAGCTCAGTTTAAAAGGCTTGGCATCAAAACTCTCATCTTTAAGACTGAGATACAGTTAAAAAGCTATCAAATGAAAAGTGGGACACCTGCAGCTCTGAAAAGCTGTTCCTTCTCTCTGACGATTTTGTGAAGTGGGGGGAAGACAACAATTGCTCCTTCAGGTTCAGCATCACAAACACAACGTGCAGGGTTTGGGGAAGAGCTCAAAAGCAGCTGGCAGTAGGTGAGGCCAGGACTCTCCTCTGTCAGAATGGCTGCTCAGGAGCACTGGGAGCTGGAGCTGCAGGAGTCTGCTCACTTGGAGATGTTGGGAACTTTTTCTTCAATATCTCTTAAGTGTGTTTATTCCACAGAGTGGTTGGTTTGTTCTGTGTCAGGTAGTCCCTTGTAGGAGATGCACTTAAAAAAAAGGATATGAGGGGGTTTTTGTGCTGGTAGCAATAGATTTTTGGTGGTTGATGTCACAAACATTCAGTGTCACAGATGGGAGAGGATTATCTCTATATTTTTGACAATTTGGTCTGTTGGCTCTAGTGCAGACAATTATTTTACAGGGAAAAATCACTGGCTTCTTACCTCCTCCCACACATTCTCCATGGAAACAAACACCTTTCATGATCCAGAAAAGGCCACATCACTTTATACACAAAGCAATGTGCTTTTTTTCCCCTCAGAAAATGTCATCACCATTGTTTTTGTTGTAGCTGAAGTTGAATACTGTGGCACTTCAGTGTGGTACGTTCCTTCTCACAGCTTGAGCCGTTTTCTTCTCCTTCACGTGGTCACAAAAGACTGAACATTCCTTCCATTTCTGGTTGTGTATTTGGACAGATCTAAGTGGCAAAATTCTTTGTAGAAAAAAAGCTGCAAAATATATTTTGGGGTAATTTCAGATTTTCCTGTCAATGCAGCAAAATGCAACAAAAGTAGGTTGCAGCCTGTTTGTACAATATGAAGGCTTTAAGTCAATCCTGTGGTTCACAAAGTTCAAATCAAATGTCTTATCCTGCATTTGTCAGTTTTTTCAACAGCTGTGAAACTTTTATGTGGAAGTATTATATACCAAGTGGAATTAATGAGGTTCATTGTGGATTCACATATATTCCAGAATTATAAAAATATTCTTTCCATGGTGTGGTGCAGAGAGTGATGCTGCGCTAAATAAGGTGTTTGCTTTTGACAACCTGCAGCTAATAAGCTCCAAAAAGTGCTTAGGAATCAGGAAATTGTCATTCCTGGGGATATTTGCCTAAAACCCCACGAGAAGTTCGGATTTTTTTGTCTCCTCATTAAAGAGTTTGGCTTTTTAATAATTTAATCACTTTTTAATGCTCGAATCACTCCGGTTCCTATTGCTATTCCCTCCACACTTGCAAGGTGAGTCTCTAAAATGTTCCTCACACGTTCTGCAGGTGATCAAGAACAGCAAGACCAACGTGCCAGAGCTGGAGCTGTTCCCTCGGTACCTGCTGTTCCTGCGGCAGCAGCCGGCCACGCGCACCCAGCAGTCCAACGTCTGGGTCAATATGGGTATGATGAGCCTCAGAATGTTCCCTCAGCATTTGCCCAGAGGTAACTTAAGAATGCAGCAAGAACCACCATCCCCTGTGCAGTTTCTAGGCCAGCCCAGGCTGGGGGAGCTTCCTGTGCTGTGCTGGTGCTCCAGCTCGATCGCCCTGCGGCACGAGCGGCGCTCGGGAGCAGCCAGGGCTCCCCTGCTCTCTGCTCCAGGGAAAAGGCAGCAGGGAGGGCTTGCAGGGCTCCCCTGCTCGAGGGAAAAGGCAGCAGGGAGGATTGGCAGGGCTCCCCTGCTCGAGGGAAAAGGCAGCAGGGAGCATTTGCAGGGCTCCCCTGCTCTCTGCTCCAGGGAAAAGGCAGCAGGGAGGATTGGCAGGGCTCCCCTGCTCGAGGGAAAAGGCAGCAGGGAGGATTGGCAGGGCTCCCCTGCTCTCTGCTCCAGGGAAAAGGCAGCAGGGAGCACTGGCAGGGAAATCAGTTGATTCCCATGTTTATGGGGGAGTTGGGGGTTAGAAATGAGCACTGCAGAAGCTGAACTGATCAGGAGAGCCAGAGCTGGGCATTCCCATTTTGGGAGTTATTGCTGTAGCCATGGAATAGATGCCCCTGTGCCTCTCTGATAGTGCAGTGGCACAATAAATTCAATTAATGCTCAGCCAACTGCTTCTGAGTTACTTGGGCAGCTGGGCTTTGATGCCCAAAATTATTTAATGCTCTTTAGAGAGCTATGAAATGAATGGAATATGAAAACTATTGTTTGATGTAGTTCAAAAAGACAATTAAATACAAAGTCTAAACACCCAGCTAAAATCTATTTGTCATAATTGTGGTGGAAATGCTCACCAAAAGATTGTCCAAGAGTAATCTTTAGGTTGTGGCTTCACATTTCAGCTGAGGTGTTGCAGGATTTGCCTCACACAAGAGGCTGGAAGGAAGCCCTGCATTCCCATTTGGATGCACATTTGCATCCACAGTAACATGCCCAAAAATGGGCTCACCTGACTGCTGGAAACTCAATCCTTCAGCCTTGCTAGTGGCAGGATGTGGGTAAAACCCTGATGCAGATGCTCAGGTTTTCCCTGCTTTGGTAGGATCTCAAGCCTCTGTGTAGTCAGCAGCTGCCTGTGCCATCGAGCTGTGCTGCACAAACTGCCTCTGCCCAAATTCAGCTTTCCTGCCTGACCTAATCCAATGGAAACTGCTTTGTCTGGACATCCTAAAATGCCTAAATTCCAATGAACGGAATCTTCTCACGTGCCAAATTTGATCTTGATTTGGAATTACTTTGCACTGCGCTAATTTGATTGTCCAATCTGTTATTAATCTTGTGGAGTTCTCAAATGTGCTTTCTTGCTGTAATCTTACAACTAATCCTCTGATCCCTAATCTCAGAAAATGTTCTTTTTAAAAAACTGAGTACTTTGCTTGGTACACTGAAGCCAGATTGATGCTTTTCTGATTCATAAGGTATCATTTACTCTCTTGTCAGATTGCATGTGATAATGTAATACTGCACCTTTTCATGTTGTATTGTTTATTTTATTGTAATCTTTTAACAGTGAAAATAGAATTGTGTCACTCCTCAGGTTACTTAAGTATTGCAGTTGCCCACTTTGGGTTGGGCTGGATAATAAAAGCTTTTCATGTTTGTAAGCAGTGGGGAACTTCTGAATTTTAAACAAAAAAAAGCTCAAAAAGAAACCCCCTTTTTTAAAGTTGGTCTCATCTCTAGTGCAAATCTTTTATTTAAAGATGAGCTCCCATTAGAAAGAGCAACAATCTTGAGCAATTAATTTGTTCTTGCAAGTGTGGGCTTGTTGAGAAATTTTGGTGGAAATCCCAGGTGTCTTCACAGACTGTTTTGAGGAATTTAGTTTTTAAGCAATTTAATTATTAAGAGTACTTCTGTTTTGAGCTGCCAGGCTGATTTCTTGTGCCCAGATCATCATTCATCCCCACAGAAGAGCTGAAGCAAAGTCATGCTACTCCCAAAAATAGTCAAACTGATTTTTGTACCTTATATTTTAATTACAACGTTCCCTCAAAAAGGAAATCCAAATGAAATTTTGAAGTCCTTTATTTTGAAAATTCCCTTTGCCTCTCATACCTTGTCTTTGAGAGACAAAAAGAATTGTGAAAACTTCTAAAACTCCATTGATTTTTTTTTATTTCCTATGAGAATCTCAGAGAAGCAATTTTCTAACAGGTTTTGCTAAGAAGGGAGGTATTTTATCTGCTTTGTGACAACAAATGTGTTGTCCCAAAGGGTCAGTAACACCTGTCTTTCCACCTAACTCCTAAACACAAGCACTACAAGCGTGTAACACTTTTTGCAGAGAATCTATTCAGTGTGTAATGACTGCTCTGACCTCTGGGTAAATGCAGCCTCTTCTCCTGTTGTGTCGCTGTGAATGCAGGCAATGTCCCTTCCCCAAATGCTCCTTTGAAGAGGGTGCTGGCTTACACTGGCTGCTTCAGTCGCATGCAAACCATCAAAGAGATCCACGAGTACCTGTCCCAGAGGCTGCGCATAAAGGAGGAGGACATGCGCCTCTGGCTCTACAACAGCGAGGTAGCCCTGCTCCTTTGCCTTCCTTTTTGAGTTATGTTTTATTTTGTGTGTGTTTATTCCTCTCCAGAATCTATTCACTGCACATGCACAGAGAAATGAGAGTGCTTATAAAGATCCTTTACAGTTAAAGACTCTTGCTGTTGGTTTTTCAGAGGTTTTTGTGCTTTAATTCTCTTTTGAGGTGAAAGGATCCTCAGAGTGTTGTACATGTAGAACTCTAATTCTGTGATGTGTTTTCTTCTCCTGCATAAAGATCCTTTACAGTTAAAGACTCTTGCTGTTGGTTTTTCAGAGGTTTTTGTGCTTTAATTCCCATCTGAGGTGAAAGGATCCTGAGGGTGCAGAGGATCCTTTCAGTACATGTGGAGATCCTCAGTACATGTGCAGCTCTAATTCTATCATGTGTTTTCTTCTCCTGCATAAAGATCCTTTACAGTTAAAGACTCTTGCTGTTGGTTTTTCCAAGGTTTTTGTGCTTTAATTCCCCTTTGAGGTGAAAGGATCCTGAGAGTGCAGAGGATCCTCAGTAAGTACATGCAGAGGATCCTCAGTACATGTGCAGCTCTAATTCTGTCATGTGTTTTCTTCTCCTGCAGAACTATCTCACTTTGCTGGATGATGAAGATCACAGACTGGAATACCTTAAAATCCAAGATGAGCAGCATTTAGTAATAGAAGGTATAAAAAGTATAATTGACTATTCTTCTAAAAATAGAGGTTTGCAGAGGGAACCTGTGCAGAAGTGGTGGCAAAGCTGATTTAGGAAAGTTTGTACTTTGCCCCTGTTTTGATGTACATTTGGATCTTTTGTTGGTTTGCAACAACACAAAATAATAGTGGTGGCTCATGAATTGATTTGTTCAGAGCTGGTGGATCTTTATTGAGAATTAGAAGAAGCACTGAAAAATTTGCTATTCAACAGCAAAAGCAATCCCAAGGCTGTTTCCTAAAGATGTTACTGGTGTGGTTGGAGGGATGCCAGTGTTAGAATGAGTTCCAATAATGATTAGAAACATTGAAATGAAAACTAGCAAAAATAATAGCTAGAAGTAAGCACATTTCTAATCCCAAATATTAGAAAGTTTTAATTAAACCTCTTCAGCTGTGTAAGCTCTCTGGAGTAAGTAACAATTTTTAAAAGCCCCTTTTCATGTCCTTTTCTAGTTCGAAACAAAGACATGAGCTGGCCAGAAGAGATGTCTTTTATAGCAAACAGCAGTAAAATAGACAGACACAAAGGTGAGTCTTCCACAGAGTCACTGGATTAGGATGAGAAGAAAAATCCAAAAAACCAGTTGAAATGTTGAAACAATCCTTTTAACACAAGTCCTGTTAACACTGGGTGGGGTCTTTTATGCTGCGGATTAGGATGAGAAGAAAAATCCAAAAAACCAGTTGAAATGTTGAAACAGTCCTTTTAAACACAAGTCCTGTTAACATTGGGTGGGGTCTTTTATGCTGTTTTGCTTGGCTTTTGTATTAACTTAAATCCTGGAAACGTGGGAGGGTGGGATTTTTTGTTTATTACCTTGGATTTTGTTAAAGCAAGGAATAATTAAGATTCTAACAAACGAACCCAGAATTTTCAGTACCATAATTACCTGTAAATATTCTGTATGGGTTGCACTGCTGTCTGTGGTGGATCAGATCAACAAAATACCTCAATTTCTGTGAGGCAGAGTTGAGAGAGCAGATATTTGAAACATCTGCTGCATCCCTGTAGTTCATAATTGGGAGCAGGTTCCATTAAATTGGTTACTGTGAGAAGATGCTACTACAACATTCTGAATCTTCTCATTTGCACAACTGATACAATGGAGCAGATATTTGAAACATCTGCTGCATCCCTGTAGTTCATAATTGGGAGCAGGTTCCATTAAATTGGTTACTGTGAGAAGATGCTGCTACAACATTCTGAATTTTCTCATTTGCACAACTGCTACAATGATGGTTTGTTTTTTTTTTTTTTTTGCTCAGTTCCTACTGAGAAGGGTGCTACAGGCCTGAGCAACCTGGGGAACACGTGCTTCATGAACTCCAGCATCCAGTGTGTCAGCAACACACAGCCCCTGACCCGTTACTTCATCTCAGGGAGGCATCTCTACGAGCTGAACAGGTAATTCCTGGGAGAGAACAGTGGCATTTTGGGTGCTGGAACATTTATTCAGGGCTGTCTGCTTCTGAAATTCAGTGGGAAGGGATGATTTAAATTCAGTGTTACCAGCTCTGCAGCAGATACTACATTAGAGACATGGAAATACAACTTCTTGTTGCTGGGAGCAGGAAGCTTTTCTGCTTCCTTCTTCATCTCCAGCCTTGAGCTGTGGTTACATTTGAGTCTGGTATTAATTCCTTTGTGATTTCTAGGACAAATCCCATAGGAATGAAAGGACACATGGCCAAGTGCTATGGGGATTTGGTGCAGGAGCTGTGGAGTGGCACCCAGAAGAACATAGCTCCCTTAAAGCTGAGGGTGAGTTATTCTGGGCTGGAAAACAAGATTTCTTGGGAAAGCAGAAATTCAGTGCACTTTTTTCTGCTGTTACCTGTATTGTAGCAGTTTGGAGACAGAGTTTTCCCTAGAAGGAGCCAGTGTTCATCAGACCTGGTGGGATTTGTGGTTGTAAGGCCAAAGGAGTTATGTGGTATGACACAAGTTGTGCCATAAGAAGTGGCTTTTGTGCCCTTTTTAGGTACAAAAGGTGATGCATTTACGTGTAAATGAGCTTTTGTTCTGAAAGCAAAGGGGCTCCCTTCAGCTCTTGGCAATTGAATTTGTGTTCATTGACAGCACGTGTCTCATCTACAATATTTTTATTTATTTTTACATTTTTTACATGATATTAAATAAGTTCCTGCTGATTGTTTTGGTTTTGTTTTTTTTAATAGTGGACAATAGCAAAATATGCTCCAAGATTTAATGGCTTTCAACAGCAAGACTCACAGGAACTTCTGGCTTTTCTCCTGGATGGGCTCCACGAGGACTTGAACAGAGTTCATGACAAGCCATATGTGGAGCTGAAGGACAGTGATGGCCGGCCAGACTGGGAGGTGGCAGCAGAGGTAGAGCTTCACATCTTTGTGTTTTCTCTTTTCCTTACAGTACTGAGCTGAGAAATCGTTGGTGAGGCTGCCTTTGGCAACATTTTGGGATTCTAGCACATTTTGGATCTTGTCAGAGCTGTGATTTACAGAGATAATTTCATCTTTGAGCTGAAAATCAATTTTAATTGTTGGAATAAAATGATGATGATGATGATACTTGACAACAATTTTGAACAACTCACAATTAGGGAGTATCAAAATATTTCAAGATGCCTGATGATCCCCTCAGAAATTTTAAATTGTGTCATACCTTGATTATTGTGTTGAGAACTTTACTTGTGCTGTAACTAAATAGTTCCTATGTATTAAAAATTAGGAAATAACTTTTGTGGAAATACTTTGACTCCCATAAGCCAGTGAAACTTTGGAGACCAATGAAGTAGTCTCCAGTTTCTAACTTGGTATTATATTTTTTGTGCTTCATTTCAGGCCTGGGAAAACCATCTGAGAAGAAACAGATCCATTGTTGTAGATTTATTTCATGGGCAGCTGAAGTCACAAGTGAAATGTAAAACTTGTGGGCATATAAGTGTTAGGTTTGACCCTTTTAATTTTTTATCCTTGCCTTTGCCAATGGACAGCTACATGCACCTAGAAATTACAGGTGAGTGGTGTAAATGTGCCATTCCTCAAATAAAATCTGTATGAGTGGAACAGCTGTAAAACATCAAATTTTGTTTGTGTTATTTAGAATAATACAGGCATTTTAATATAAGAGTGCAAGAATTTTCATTGGAACACAGTTAAACCAAGATAAAACCTTTAGAAACAGAAAAGGATGACCCATTTTTAGTCTTGATTGAATGATTTAATACAAAAACTTTTTAAAATGGAGATTTTGAGAACTTTCCTTCTGTTCCCTCTCTTGTGGAGGTTGTCCTAAATCTGCCCAGAGGAAAAACAGGGGCTGGGAGGAAAATACACTATGGGTCATTAACTGTGCTCTGAAGGAGCTCTGGATTGCTGGAAAAAGGGCAAAAGGAAAGATGATAAAAAAGTGAAACAAATTTTGAAACCATTTTCTACTGCCTATGCAGCAAGAGATTTCCTGACACTGTGACATCGCCTGCAGACCTTAAAAATTGACTGGGAAAATGAAATAAATCATGTGTTCAAGTTGGGGAAAAAATTCTTTTCCAATAAGTGGGGAGCTGTAATGTATTATTGTCATTAAAACCTGCCTGGGCTGCTGACCAGGGTGTTTCTTTTCCCCTTTAAAGTAATTAAATTAGATGGTACCACTCCTGTTCGATATGGGCTGAGATTGAACATGGATGAGAAGTACACAGGCTTGAAAAAACAGCTGAGTGAGCTCTGTGGCCTCAAACCAGAGCAGATTCTGCTTGCAGAGGTGCACAGCTCCAATATAAAGGTAAAAAGGAAAAAAGATTAATTATTGCTGCAACATGTTTTGGGTGGTTTTGTTGCTTCTTTGTTATTTTTAACATTTAAGCTTTGCTTGCAAGAGCTGTGAAATAATTTAGCTAAAAGTATGGTAAAAAATCAGCTTAGTTATGGCTCTATATGAACTTTTATTTCATTCTTAAACAGTAATATGACTTGCTGTAAATAGATTTAAATTGATTGCTAGTTATATTTTTAGGGGGAAAAAATCATCTTGAGGTAATAAATCTCAGGTTAAGGTGCTGTGATGAGTCTAAACACTGTCAAGACATCAGGACCATAAGTAATGACTGGCTTACAGTGTGTGTGGAGATTTCCAGGGGGATTTTTTTGCTGTAGATTAAAAGTGCTTGGAATGAGATGCTCTGGGTGTGATTGGAGACCCCTGATAACTCCTGCAGAGGGCTTGGGTTCTTTATTCTTCTGGAAAGGTGTGAGGAGGCAGATGGGCGGGAGGGAGGAGCTGATAAATGCAGCTTGCAGAAGAACAGAACACATTCTGGTCCCAGATGAAGGTATCCAAGTGCCTGAGCTGCTTTCCCTCTCTCCTGAAGAATTTCCCTCAGGACAACCAGAAGGTGCGGCTGTCCGTGAGCGGCTTCCTGTGTGCGTTTGAGATCCCCATCCCAGGCTCCCCCACGTCAGCATCCAGCCCCGTGCAGACAGGTGAGACAAAACTGCTCTTCTGGTCATTTAAACTGCACTCTGTTGAGCTCAGGACTGAGGTTTGTCACTGAGTGAGGATTACAGAAAGGACACGTGCGGGTTGTGCTCGGTGTCCACACGGAATGGAAAGGATAAAAACCCTGATCAGCTGTGGGTAATTAATAATTTATTTGTCTGCCTGCAGAGACATCCACTGGGCCATCAGCCAACGGAGCCCCCACCATCCTGATGAACGGGGACGTGCCCAAGCCAAGCCTCATTCCCAATGGGATGCCAAACACTGTGGTGCCGTGTGGGACGGAGCGCAGCCCGCCCAGCTGGACCCTCAACGGCCACGTGCCCTCGCTGTGTGACAGCCCCTGCACAGGCTACATCATTGCAGTGCACAGGAAGATGGTCAGTGGCCTTGCACACTTGGGAAGAAATTTGAAAAAAGCAGATTTTTTTAATGTCCACGTGATAGTTGTGCACGTTTATGTGTGATGTGGTCAGATAACCTCGCCATTATATCATAAAATAGAAACGTGTTTCAAGTCAGTGATCAAAATTGACAGTATTTAATATTGGAATTAGAGTAATTTTAATACAATTATTGCTTAATTTTAGTTGCCAAGGTCTGAGATAAGTCACAAGGCCAGCAATCCAGGGGATTATTGCACTGTGAGTTAATGCACCTTCACATCTGACTCCTCCTTTTGCTTCCACAGATGAGGACAGAGCTGTATTTTCTCTCATCTCAGAAGAATCGGCCCAGTCTCTTTGGAATGCCACTGATTGTCCCCTGCACAGTTCACACACGGAAAAGGGACCTCTATGATGCTGTGTGGATCCAGGTTTCCAGGCTGGCCAGCCCCCTCCCTCCTCAGGAAGCCAGTAACCATGCCCAGGACTGGTGAGTTGGGCACCTCAGCCTTGCATCTGAGTTACAGTACAGTGCCTTACACTTGCTTGCAAGATTTAAAATTGTGTTCATTTGGTTTCTCACAATAATGGCAGTAATTAAAATTAAATTCTTTTTAGTACAGTTAAATGTAGCTGCACTTAAATGTTGGCTTCATTCTTATCCAGTGATTGATAAATATTTATATCTGATGAGTTCAAGCTATGGAAAGGCAGCTTTTAATAGTAAATTGTAACCCAAATTATCATTTTGAGGGTTTTCTTTAAGTAATCATAACAAGCCCAGTGAAGGGAGGTAATTGCTGTGAGAGTGCTGCTGTTTGATGTTGTGTTCTCCTCTGTTTCAGTGATGACAGCATGGGGTATCAGTACCCCTTCACCCTCAGGGTAGTTCAGAAGGATGGAAATTCTTGTGCTTGGTGTCCATGGTACAGGTAAATTGTCCTTTTTTCCATTTACAGCAGGGAATCACTCCAGCAGAAAGGTAATTTATGGTAATGGGTCTGTGGTACATCTCAGACTTCAGAGCTAATATCAAACAATAAGAATCTGGAATGTAATTTCACCAGAACTCTCTCCAGGCAGACTTGCACTGCAGCACCACTTTTATGACTTGCAGAGCTGAAAGTTCTGCTGTCATAGAAACTTTAAATTAGGAGACAGAAATGAGATTATCCAAAACCTGTTAACCCCTTACAATATTCTGTGTCTGTATGCAGCCTTGGATGTCTACAGACTTGCATGGTTTGGGGGGATTCACACAAACCCAAATTTTTAGATGTAATTCATCTACCCCTGTGAGTTCCTTGCCATTTGATACCCTTCAAATGATCTAAAATGGGCAGTGAGAAACTCACCCTGGAAGAGTGCTTGGAATTTCCCATAAACAAAGACTTGCTAATGAAAATTCCAGAACCTTGCTGGAAGGTATTCAGGCCACACACTAATTTTTTTAAAAGTGTTTTATAGCTCTTAGAATTACTTATCATGGTGAAAATAACTTGTGGAGACAGAGCAGTGGAGTTTTTGGAGTTGTAGATGGGTTTGATCAGCACTGGATCATAATGGAATGGAAAGGATTTCAAAGATCATCCCATCCCAACCTCCTTCCATGGGCAGGGACACCTTCCAGTGGATCATGTGCAGGCAGATGGTGGAGCTCACCCAGCTGCTTCCCCTTCTCACTCTGGTAACGTTTTGCATTAAAAACACAAATAACCCCGAGCATTGCTGCATAAAAATGTCTCACACTGGAGGCGAGGCCTGCAGCTTGGAGGGTGCAAGGAGCCAAAACAAGGAGCAGAACTGAAGGAATGCAGAAGTGATTGGACCCTGCACTGACCACACCCAATCTTTGTGATTCAGGTTCTGTCGTGGCTGCAAGATTGAGTGCACAGAGGACAGGGCCTGCGTGGGCAATGCCTACATTGCTGTGGACTGGGACCCCACCGCGCTGCACCTGCGCTACCAGACCTCGCAGGAACGGGTAAAATCCCAGCAGGACCCCTTGGTTCTTTGGTAGCACCTCTGAAACATCACCCACTGCAGCTTTTTTAGTTGTGTGATGCTGCTTTTGTCCCTTTTCTGTTAAATCAAAGGCAGCAATCGTGGGGCAGTGTATTCTGGATAAATCGATGTCTTGATGTTAGGCCTCTTATGTGGTCTAATGGTGTGGAAGGGAAGCTTTTAAAGAACCACAGCAGTGCATTTGCTTTTAAGCTAGTCAAGATATATAATCATATATTACATAATACATTACAAAATATCTTAATTTGATAAATTTTCTGTATCTATAAACAGTTATGCGTGTGAGTAAACCTATTTCCTCATTAAGCCAACAAAACACATCTCAAGGTGAGCCTGTAGCTGGGTGAATCTGGAATAACTGTTCCAATTTGTGAGTTTTATCTATAAAGTTGTGCTTTATGGATAATTTATAAGCAGAGCCCAAGTTAAGAACAGTGAATTATTTTTATCTGCCTCTTCATAACTCAAATGAAATTCCTGCTGAAACTTACCGCATCTCGTTATTATCTCTAATTCTGAGCAACCCAGGGAAGTTATTTGTGATGCTGTGAGGAGAGCCCTCCTCTGAGCAGTGTGTTGTTACATTTCCAAGTCAGAGACAGTTTTCTCTCCTTTTCAGATCGTGGAAGAACACGAAAGTGTTGAACAAAGCCGCCGAGCCCAGGCAGAGCCCATCAACCTGGACAGCTGCCTGAGAGCCTTCACCAGCGAGGAGGAGCTGGGGGAGGATGAGATGTACTACTGCTCCAAGTGCAAGACCCACTGTCTGGCCACCAAAAAACTGGATCTGTGGAGACTTCCCCCTATTTTGGTAGGATCTTGTGTCATTTTCCTCCTCAGCAGCAAACCCAAAGCACGTTGTTCCCAAATCTGCCAAGCTGCCTTGCTCTGAATAAGATGATTTGCTTTGTTCACACTCTGAGGTGGGGCACTGACTGAGTTTGCAGGCAAATAAAGCAAACCTCAACTCCTTTAGAATGTTTTTAGCTGCTGCCTTGCAGGAAATGGTGGTGGTTTGTGCTCAGTGTCAGCTGCTCTGACACAGCTCATGCTCAGATGGTGACAAGATCTCTTCTCTGGTTGTGGAACACCTGCAGTTCTTATTTTTCACATTTGGTAGCTTATTCAAAACAGACAGTGCTGATCACTGAATTGAAGCAACCTTTGCCATCTTTCCACATGACAATATTAGTTTCCTATTTTACCAGCTCGATCCCAAAATCCAAACTGTCACACAGAGCATTATTTTACTAGCATAGAATAAAATGTGTATGTTTTGGGAAAAACTCTCTTTGAACAGTGAAATTACTCACTGGGCTGTCATTGCCCCCCTTTAATTATTTTCTTTACTATGTTTCCCCTTAGATCATTCACCTGAAAAGATTTCAGTTCGTTAACGGCCGCTGGATAAAATCTCAGAAAATTGTTAAATTTCCCAGAGAAAATTTTGACCCAAGTGCCTTTTTGGTACAAAGGGATCCGAGTCATTTCCAAAGGAAGCAGCTCACCCTGCAGGTTGAGAGCCTTCCTGAAGCACGGCCTGGCCAAGGGGACACCAGGAAAGCAGAAGTGCAGATCAGTGGCACAGCAGGAGAAGGGGACACACTGAACAGGAGTCCATCCTCCCTAAACACTACTGTCCTCAATAATGTCAAAGGTAGGGAATGGCTGGGGAAAATTCCACTCAGTGCTGGTGTTTGGAGGGGGAAAATGTAATGTACAAAATTTTAATGTTTGGGGTTCTTTTTGCCAAAGCACTACGCTTGGAAACATTCCTCAGTGAAGCTTTAGCATAAAAATGAAAGAAAATTTAAGAAATTGCTCAGTGACAACAGATATTGGTACTTGTGTAAGTGGGCTGGAATTAGTGGGGGATGTGCTTCTGCATAAGAGAATTAAATTTCAGTTTTTAGGTGTATGGATGTGTGTGCACAAAGATGGAGTTTTATTTCTATATATTACTCATGAGCTGCAGTGAAACAATGGGGTTTAATGTTTGGTTATTCAAAAAAATAATTTCAAAAAGAAAACTAGACTGTGTTTGTACTCATCTTAGTCATAATCTCTGTGCTTTCTGTCCTAGCATCTCCATCCTTGGGGAGGAAAAGTGGAACCAGCTGCCCCTCAAGTAAAAACAGCAGCCCCAACAGCAGCCCAAGGACTTTGGGGAGAGGCAAAGGGCGCCTGCGGCTGCCCCAGCTGGGGAAAAACAAACTGTCCAGCAGCAAGGAAAACCTGGCTGCAAACAGGGAGAACGGTGCTGAGCACGAGCAGGGGGATGCTCTGACTAAAGGACAGGTTTTGGGGGGCAGCCAGAGCGAGCTGTACCCCGGGCAGGACAGCGAGGGGGCTCTGGCCAACGGGTACCTGTGGGAGCAGAGCTCACTCAGCAACGGGCAGGGCGAGAACCACAGCGAGGACGACACCGCCGACGACCAAAGAGACAGAGACGACGTCTGGGTCAACCCCATCTACAACCTATATGCAATCTCGGTAGGTGGCTGCTCCTCTGCCACAGGTGCCTCCTTGGCACACTGCTTTATGCCTTTGTTGGGTTTGTGCCAGCACAGGGATCTGTAGGGAAGGAGGGTAAAAGTCAGCACCATAAATTCGCTGTCAAACTGGGGATGAATTATGTGTCTGCTTGTGTGTGTAAAGATAGTCAGCTCCAGCTGTCTAGATTGTTGTGGTGACTCACTCACAGATAATGAACTTGGGAATCATTTATTGCATGTTTGATCCAGGATTTGTTTTCTTCTTCGTTTTCCTCAGTGCCATTCAGGAATTATGGGAGGGGGTCATTACGTCACTTATGCCAAAAACCCGAACAACAAGTGGTACTGCTACAACGACAGCAGCTGCAAGGTAAAGCTCTTCTTTTCCTCATTATTTCATATCATTATTCTAATTATTTCAAATAATTTTTGCCTTGGTTACCCAGAGCTGAAGAAATTAAGAATCGAAAATTCTAGCTAAAGAAATTTTAGAATCACAGAATGGTTTGGGTTGAAGGAACCTTAAAGTTCATCCCATTCCACTCCTCTGCCATGGGCAGGGACACCTTCCACTAGCTCAAACATTTGTGGAGAGCTGCTGTTTGAAATCAGGAGCATCTCCAAAGCTGCACCAGATAAATATTAAAATTACTATCTGAAATTGTGTGTGAGGTTTTTTCCAAGGTAACATCTGTTCATCAGCTGCTCCCACAGTTAAGGGAAGATGCTTATTTTGTACAAAGATGGAAAAATGACTAAGAATGGAAAGCCAGGAATACATTTCCATGATGGCAGCAGTTTGTATTCAATTGGTGAATAACTCAGCTCTGACACTTCTAAGTATTTGCATTCATCACTATAAAATTGTCAGAGTTCCCAAGTAATTCATGGAGCGAGATAACAAAGAGGGGAGACAGACAACAAGATTCCTTATGTTGCACCCGGTTAAAAATACACATTTTGGGGCAGCAGTGTGTGTCTGAAGTGCAGCATTATCCCATGGGGTTTTTCTGGGTGTTTTCCCTGTGTCAGGAGTTGCACCCGGACGAGATCGACACGGACTCTGCCTACATTCTGTTCTACGAGCAGCAGGGGGTGGACTATGCCCAGTTCCTGCCCAAGATCGATGGCAAGAAGATGGCAGACACGAGCAGCATGGACGAGGACTTCGAGTCCGACTACAAGAAGTACTGCGTGCTGCAGTGAGCCTGAGCTCCTCAGGCTGGGGGAGAAACCCTGGGATGTGCCCCTGGGCAGGCCCTGACTGAGACAGAGAACAGCTTGTGGTTGTCGTTGTCCCCTGTGAGCTGAAAGCACAAAAAGAGCCCCTGGTTAAGCAGTTAATATCCAGTAGTATTGTTTTGTTCTGTTTTCTCACTACATGCTCGAAACGTTTCTGATGTTGGACATCTGAGACTGCCACTGGCCTTTAAATCCAATGGTTTGAGAAAAGCCAACTAGGACCAAATAAGAGCTAAATTAAACATCCAAATAAGAGCTAAACAGAGTAGTGTAGAGTTTACCAACTGTTCTAACACCCCCCGAGGCTCTCGTTAGGTTTAAGGTAACGGGGAAAAACAATTTATAGTGTTGTCTTTGGACAACATGATATTGCTACCTCCTTTTTCCTGCAGTTTTATTGCATTTTATTGGCAAAACAGGGAAGGCAAGAGAAGGAAAAGTGCATAAATGGAAACAAATTATTGTCATGGGGAAGAGAAGTTTCCAGTTTTGCCACCACTTATGTGTGTCAGTTGCTTTCTTTCTGTATGTTGGGAGCACAACCAAATCATCATTTGAGAAGAGATTAATTTCTACACTTGAATGGTTTATTATACTTGTGTTTTCTCCACGTGTTGGCTGTGCAGATCAACATGTTTCAGGAATGGCTTTTCTGCCTGAAGAGTGCTGGCTCAAACTTTTTTGAGCTGCCTCAAGAAGAAACTTCAGGTTGGAGAGAGTAGTTGTGATTACACTCACGGTGTCTTAAAATGTGCACATTGCACAAAAAGTTCCCAGCTTTTGGAAGGAGAGATGCTTGAGCTTATGTTTCATGACTGGTGTTGCTTTTGAAATTTGCACTTTTGAAAATGCATCTGATTCAACTGAAACCCACTGTTTGTTTGGTTTTGTTGTTGTTGTTGTTGTTGTAAGGGCTCTGGAGTGAATGGCTGTGAGTATCCACTGTGTATTTCAAAGGAAGAAGCTGTGGCTGTCAGGTAGCTGTCGTAGCATTCATGGATGGAGGTTGTTTTTTTTTTTTTAATTGGTTTCCTAACTCAGTTTCTTGTTTTCAAAGTTTGGTTGCCTTTTCAAATGATCTTCTTTTTGTTTGTTTGTTACACCAGGTTATGCAAATACTTGCAATTAAACCAGACTTGCTTTCCATGCCCTTGCAACGTGCTCTGTAATTCAAGGGGCTTCTTGCATGAAGGGAAGTGTGACTGAGTCTTAGCAGAGACTGGAAAAAAAGAGGGTTGGTTTTTTTTTATTTGAGCAGGCATTTCTTTAAACATTTTCAGTGTTAAATTGTTTGCATATCTGAATGAAGATAAAAATTTTCACTCTTTTGGCCTTTTGTTCTTCAGCTGAGCTTAAGCAGCTTATTAATTTTGTCACACCATCTTCCCAGTTCTCTAGATTTTTGTACCTTCACTAACAAAACTGTTACTCACGTGGTTCTCTGCAATTAATGTTTGGATTCATTTTGGGGTGTTTGACAAGAATTCCAGACCTTCAGCAGTTTATCATTTCCAGGAGGATCTGGGGTTTATCCATTGAAGAAATGATATCAGCTGGTCTGGCTGTCTGCTCAGGCAGAGCCCTCCCAGCCTTTGGAGGTTGTGCCTCTTTGGGGACAGCAGATCTGTTCCAGAATGAGTCTTGTCTTACCTGTCAGGTGTTGCTCCTTATCCTCTGTGATCTTTTATCTTTAAAGTGGTCTGAACATTGAGCCTAAAGAAAAGCAAACATGACTAGTGAATTTCTAGGTTAGAAGCTTTTTCAACACCCACTTGTCTACTCCTCCCTCCGCAAACTCCATGAAAAGTGAAAAATTTTCAATTGATTTACTTTAAAATGTTTTATTTAAGCAGGTAGCACAATCTACTAATGTTATTTGATCTTCTGTGTTTGTTACATTGGTTGTAATTAATTTTTTAAATTAAATTAATTCAATAATTAGTAGTAAATTTATTAAGTTAACTATTAACTACATTCACTTTGTAAATTATTGTATAAAACTTATTGACAATGCACTGACTTTAGAAAGATGTTAATGTACATAAATGCCTTGTAAATAAAATAGTGTTGATGTACTGGAATATGAGCTGTATTAAAACAAAGGTATTGGTAATTGTATATGGAGTGAACCTGTTTATCTGTAACTATATTATTCAAACAAATTAAATACTGTGGATGCAGATGAAGTGTCACTTCTTGTCAGATAATTTTTAATAACTGTTTTCCTGCTTTGAAGTATCTGTGCTGCTTCTATGAAGCTTAAATGCCTTTGTCAATCCAAAAGCTGAAGCATGGGCGTGCATCCAGCAATTCTTTGCAGCTTCTTCATTGTTTACAAAAGGTAAGTTGGGTATTTTGTTGATGATAATAACACTTATTACCTGAAAACAATCCATGTCAGCAGTGAAGTGATCCCTCAGGTACGGAAGGCTTTGCTCTGGTGTCTTTGGACAGGATCTGCAGGTACCTGATGTGCAGCCAGGGCTGTGGGACTGCAGACAGTGCTGGACACTTCCCTGGGCAGACAGGGATGGGAGAGCCCTGCTCACTCTCAGCCTTGCTTTTTTCCAAGCAGGAAGTGGATCTGGTTGAGTTGGCAACCAGACCAAAGTCTGCACAGAGCTGATGTCAGGAGCACTCATCACCTGGGTTCTTTAGCTGGAAATGAACCATTGTTCTTTTTTTACAGCCCTTGAAGATGCTCAGTGGATATTTATCCAAGGATTAGCACGCACCAGTATCCCCAGAGTGTCTCTGGAAGTGAAGCCATCTGTGGCTAGGATGGGAGTGTTGGTGCAGCACTGGGTGGTGACACTTTCCTGGTGATCTACTCTCAGAGAATTGGTCATTCTTACTGGGTGTGGTCACCCCATGGCCTCACTGGGGGCACTTGGGCATTTTCAAGGTTGAAAATTTCATTTCAATATAAAGAATATGGACTACAGTAGTTCCTGTCATGAATTTCCCTGTGTTACTTTGAGGTATTGGAAGGGGAATTTAAAAGGATGAAAAACTCTTAATTACTGAGGATGTTCATACATGCTGCTGTCAGTGGTAAAGCTTTTATTGATTTCATGCAGCAGGGGACATTGAAGAGATGAAGGTGTCACATCCCTGCCCAGCCTGCAGCCACGGGCTGCTGCGGAATCCCTTTGACTTCCCCCATCAGAGCTGTGCAGGTCCCACAGGAGGGCTCAGAACTGAGCAGAGCCCCTTTTGTGAGGTGGGAGCAGTGGGAAATGGGCTCTGCTGGGGCTGTCCCTGCTCCCTTTGTGTGTGTGGAGTGCAGGAAGCGCCTGTCCTGCTTTTGGGGTGGCTCAGGCAGACTTCTGCAAACCTGGGGTGGTTTTTGGTGCTTCTCCTGGGAGGGAGGGGAAGGACCCAGCAGGGACAGCACCTCTTGTGCCAAACCCTCTTATTCCCCCCAGGGAGTGGGGAGGGATGGATGCACCAGCCCTGCAGGGCCCTGCTGCCCACAGGAGTGACCACTGTCCCCTCCCTCCCCTGAATCCCAAACCCAAAGGCATTTTCCATCCTGATCCAAGTGCTGGATCCGTTCTGGAGCTGCTGTTGCAGCCCTGCACCCTGTCCTCCCCTGGGCTGGCACAGGAGGCTCTATCCCTGCTTTTCCCTCTATCTAAATATCAAAATATCCCAGATTTATCTGTGATCATGTCCTGAGAACGTGCTGGGCTCCAGGCACAGCCGCTGGCCCGGGGCCCAGAGCATCCACGTAGATATTAATTACATTAATTATACCTTTTGTTACCCTTTTTCCCTCAGGTCCAGTAAATTGAAGCAAGAAGTGAGTAAAACGCAGTCATCCATGCTTGCTGATTTATCGTTTCAGGAAAATAAAAACCTGTCAGGAGCTGGGGAGATTGTGCCTTTTGTTTGGGACAAGCCTCTGGCTTCCTCGATCGTGTGTAAAAGATTTCCTGTTTGTGAAAATGGAAAGCAATGTTTGATAAGGTCCCTTCAGCAAAATCAGTCACAAAGGAGAAAACAGATTAAGGATGCTTCTAGATTTGATAGAAATTAAATTTCTCTGGGAGTTGTGAGCATAGAAAACCAATGAGGAAATCTTGTGGCAAAATACAGGTTTTATTTATATTTAGGGTCATTTCAGGCACACCTGATGACTGAACCTCACCCAACTTTTACCAGTGCATTTAAAACCCGTGGTGAGGGCACAGAGATGTCCCCAGGTGGGTCACAAGCTGCTTTGGGTGGTCAAAGTTCATGCACTTCCCTCCCCTGCAAAAAAAATAAACAGCAGCAGATGCTTCAGAGCCTTTGTCAGTGTTTGTGAGAGCTGGCAATGCAGCGCTCTCTGTACTCTGATATTTTTTATCTCAGTCCTACTGAAATTTTTTTCACCATTCGGTTTTTATTGGGTGCAAAGTCCAAATGAAGTGGCTGAGAGAGCTGTGCTGTGTGATGAGTTCTCTGGATTTTGGATATACTGTCTGTAAACAGCTGTGAACATTCTCAGTGTTGTTTCTCAGCTCTGTGTGAGGTTCAAATCCTGTGGTTTTCCCTGATCCTGAACAGGGGAAACACAGGGAGCTCCTGGGGCCCTTACCGAGGTATTATTTTGCATAGAACTATTGAATCCCAAGTATTTTCTGACTCTTCTCCAGCTTCTTATTCACTCAAACTATCTTGCAAATTATACTGTCTTTACACCATGAATTTGAGAGGTTTTGGTCAAACTGAGGTTGAAGAAAGGAACTAAACCAACAAATAAATGGGAAAGGTGTGGATTACATGCTGTGTTTGGAGTCAATGAAAAGGTTTGGGGCAACAGGTTTGGCTCAGTCTTTACATCCCACAGAATTTTGTCCAGGAATTGCTGCATCTCTGGGTAATGTGATTTAAAGTTTGCTGAAATGTGATATAGAAAGCATAGTTTTAGGTTAAATCTCCTGTATGTTTAGCATGCAATGAAGTTGTGCCTTCACCTAACGCAGCATTTTGTTGGGGACGATATTTATGTGTCTTATAAATAAACCTTGGCCTGCCGAAGAGAAGCTGCAGGAAAGCTGGAGTGTGGGTGTTGGTTGGGAGCTGGAGAACAACAAAGGGAAGCTGCTGCTGCTGCAGGGCCAGAAAAAGGATCCAACACCAGCACTGGCAAATCAAAACCCTTACAAATGGTGTTTGTGCTGTGATGTTTGGAGTAGGGAGACAATGCAAGGAACAGGGTGATTACAGAGCTCAGCCCCGGACATTGTGAGGCAGATCCCTTCTCCAGGGCTCGGGTGACAGGGTGACAGCTGTCCCTGCTGCCTGGGGAGGGCAGAGGAGCTGGGGGTCCCTGGAAGTGCCCATGGCCAGGCTGGATGGGGCTTGGAGCACCCTGGGGTGGTGGAAGGTGTCCCTGCCATGGCAGGGGTGGGATGAGGATGTTTCATGCCCCTTCCAACCCAAACCATCCTGGGATTCCAAGAGAGGGAGGAAAGGCTCAGCAATGGGGCAGGATGAACATACCCCAGTGTGATGCAGACTCAAATATTTAGGAATACTTGGCAGAGAGCCATTAAATGTGGGCTGTGATGATGTCCCTCAGCTCAGCACTGTCAGACACAGCTGGGGCATACCCCCAGCTCAGACCAGCCCCGGGGAATTGCAGAGATCAGGGCTGAACTGGCTGCAGTTGGAGCTCTGGGATGATTTCAACCACAGCTCAGTGCTGGAGGTTTGTGTTGAGAGCCCTCAGCAAGCAGAACACAAAGGTGGATTTTTGTTCCGTGGTGTTTTCCTGCTGATATGGAATATAAACCCCTTTAAATCAAAGCCACTCCAGTTGTACCCAAACTCTCCTTGAAGGCCAGGGAAGGATTCCACACAGGAAGGCTCTGGTGCTGCACACTGGCTTTGAGCACACACTCATTTTTGGGACCTTGCTCAGGAGCTAACATGTTGGAAATGTTTGCTTGCCATGTGGCCGTGCCTTTTTATCTGCAGGTTTGATTATATAAATGTTCCTGTTTAAGAGACACACGCCAAGGAATAAATCTCTGGGCCCACAGACTCTTTGAGCACTGGCAGCCCCAGCATTTAACTGGTAACAAAGAGAGTTGGAGTGGAAGCTTTTTGATAAAGAGTTGGCAGCATATCAGAGGAGCAGCTTGGCCACGAGATGTGAGCAAGGATGTCACACTGGGTGTTTAAACTTCTTACCTTTCCTTCCAATTCCTTTCTATTTTTTTTTTTCTTTAAATGATTATGAATGAATTATAAGAGAGACTGTGATTGTTTTCAGGGTGTATGTGCTCAGATAGTGGCTCAGTTAAAAAAGATGTTAACTTTGGATTTGAACACAATCCAGAGATCTGGCTGTTCTAACTGCAGTTTAAGTAGTAAGGACTAAGAGTGACCTGAAGAATGATCAGCTTTTAGCACGAAATCTCTTGTTTAACTGATTTAACTGGGCCCAAACCTCTGGCTATAATTTGAGGTTTTCTTCCATGAGAGTGGCAGGTGCTGCCACACAGCAAAAGCCAAGTTGAGTGTGAGGAAGGGTAGAGTTCAAATAAACAAAATACACTAAGGGATGACTAAAGGGAGGTGGGGGATAGAACACAGATGTGATTTTCCCTTCTGAGTATCTTCCCCTGCCTTTGGCTGCTGGGCTTTGATGTTGCAGAGCACAAAGAGGCTCCTCGTGTACCTGAGCTCTGTGTTCCAGGCAGAGCCCAGCCAGGTTATAAATCTGTAACGTTGCACTTCACCTTTTGTGTCTTGCTTAATGACCTTTTAAAAATAAATGCAGGATGGCTGAGGGGAACAGGAGCAGTGGTGGAAAAGCTGACACGTCCGCAACCTGAGCTCTGATCCTTCTGATTGCTCCAGCCCGTTAAACAAAACTTCTTTTGCTTTGTGCTTTAAAGAAAAAAAAAATAAAAGAGGGAAAAGGGGGACAGGGAAGGGTTTTCTTAGCTGGGTTCTCTGTCTTAAAATGCAGCTGGAAAGTGCTTTACTGGGGAAATGCTGCATGGAGTTACCTGCCTAAAGAACACGGGTGCAGTCACCCAAATATCAAAATATATTCTATCTGCTATTTCATTTTCATGGAAAGCTGCTGTTTTAAGGGGCTTTTGCCCCTTTGGAAGTGTCATCCTTCATTTCTCTTGCATAAAAATGACTATTTAAGATCCTTATCAGGCTCTTGTTCTGTTTCACACAA